TGTTCCCTTACAACACAGACATCACACATTTCAGAGCAGTCCACTCCATGAACTTAAGACTCTTTTGGGCAACTAATAACTACGTAAATCAACGTACCTTCTCACCTGAAAGGGGATATGAAATTAAAATGACATAGTAAATTAAGAGCTCACAAATTCCTTAGAAACAGATGGATATTTAAATATCGATTGGCCTAATTGACAGATCCACTGCAGTGAAATTCTGTTCATTGAACACTCAGTTTGACAGCAATAACATCATTCGCACTGGACTGCAGAGGGTAGTGATTTGGGACCACACGTTTACCGGTACTCAGATTAATTGTTTTTTTTTTAATATACGAATGGTCACGAGGAAAATTATTCAATTAACCAAATTATTCGGTATTCAAACTTCACTGTTTATGCCTGGGACAAGCAGACGAGGCACACAACACTCATTTTCTTTTCCCTTTTCCCTATTAATCCGGTTAAATGTGACCTGTGCAATGATGCTGACATCTTTTGAAGGACCCATCAATAACTGGTGAGGTTCTCAGTACCACAAAGAATTGCGTATTAAAAATAAACACTGACATTGGCAGCATCCGCTTTTCCTAGCTGCGTTCGATACTCCCCAAGCTATTAGACACTACCGGGGAAAAGCCTAGAAGAATAAACTAAAAATAATTAGCTTTCAGACTTAAAGCAAACATAATGGTGTTTGTTACAATGGGGACATAGCACTTGGCAGAGGGCAGACATGACTGTTCGTTGTTCCACAGTATATTCTATGCCAGTGCGTACAACACGAGATTAACACCAGGATCAATGGCGACAGAAAGGCTACACTTTTTACACTTAAGAATCCACGGCAATTACACCTTAAACCCTAATCAAACAGCGAGCCGGAGACCAGAATAATGCTGTCACTGAGGACGAGCCGTGTCTTAACTTTAGTATCTGTAAATAATTCTAGGATTGACACAACGGTCATTACTTAGATAGAAAAAAAATGGTCAAGAGTAGTTTGTGCACATTTGCTGGGGAAGAGGGAGTGGGCAAGAGGAAGAGACCACAACAACTTGCATTTATTATAGCGCCTCGCACGCAGGGTAGCGTCCCAGAGCCCTTGGCAGTGGCGGAGCACAACTCTGAGCTGGTAGGAGGTGACTGTGGGTACGGTCGAAGAGGAAGATCTTCGGGCGCCGTTGACCTGAAGGCGGGGAAGGAAGCGGCAGGGCGGAGAGATGGAGGAAGACTGTTCCAGAGATTCGGGGCATAGTGGCTGAAAGCGCGTCAAGGAAGGAAAGTGATCGCACGCAGGTGAAGCAGACCGCACGAGGGAGGGAGACAACACAGGCAATGCCCGTGGCTAAAGTCAAAGAGGAGACACGGTCTGGAAACAATACGTTTCTCTCCAACGGCCGAGTTTGCGAATGACGGGAATACCTGGAAGATTAACTGGCCTGAGGCGTGGGGGCATTGCTGACCTGCGAGTCAGCTCCAACCAGGGAACACGAACAGTTGCTCTCCACCAGAGAACGGGTAGAAATCCCTCGGCCCCAGGTAACACAGCAGCACTAAAGCATTGCTCTCTTCACTTCAAAGACTGGGATTGAATGCAGTCGATTCTGACTGAGGTTCGGGGTACTGCAGTATCTCTACTGCTTTACTTTCCTTAGAAATTCTCATTGATGTGAAATGGGGAGGAAATTCAGGGCGTCAAAACTTGTAGATGGGGCAGTCTTCTGTGATTGGGGGGAAAAAGGCAACGGCTGAACCAAACCCACTGTGGGTCAAAGTAAATTAGATAAATCATTAGAGATAAACGATTAGATTTTGGAGTCCAATAGCGTAGTGGATAGAGCACTCGCCTCGCGAGCGAGTGGGAGGACCCAGGTTTGATTCCCGGGCGGGGTGAAACCTTGGGCAAGTATCCTTACTCCACACGCCTGGGTTTGCCGAGCAATACGTAGGTACCCGGTTGTTAGTCGTTTGGAGGATCACTTTCTGGGGGTAATAATCCCTAACCCCCAAAAAACTCTAAATGATTACGTTCTCTTCAAACAGCGGGCACTCCGCCCCCCGCAGTATTCATGCAAACCAAATTTTGGCACAAGTGAAGACGAAAAGGATTTTAAATTGCTACGAGCAGTGCCCACAAACCAATCTGTGTTTTTTTTTTTTTGAAGGCAGCACAACTCTCTCGCGGCGCACACGTTGACTTTTTAAAAAAAAAAATTAATACGCTTCCCAAATACTGAAGTCAGATTATTGAAGAAATAATAATCCTTTAAACGTAGGATTTAACACCCGTCGATTCAAGAGGCCGTCTCAACCCCGTTCACAGGAGGAGAACGAATGCCTCAGCTGAATTCACAATCGTACTGTGCAGTTCTCACTGGTGGATTTAAAGCAAACCCGAAGCCTGTCGGCAAAAGAATTGAAACCGAAATCCAGAACTCCCGAGTCAGGAGACGTGCACGACAGACGCTCTCAACGCTCCTGTAAAAAGCTCTTCCGAGGCTCGACATTGTCAAAGGACAACGCGGACCTGGAGCAGGTCTTCGCGACCGCGACTTAGACGTTCTCCTCCAACCAGTTTCCAGACCAGCGTCCAGCTTGGGAGTCCTCGTGTTTTGCTCCAGGTAGAAGCCAGCACACGGCACTGAGGTTCTTGATCCGGTCCAGCATTCAGTACCTTTTCTCTGCAGGCAACAAGCGGAGAGAAACTGAAGACTTTCCTGCCCCCCCACCCCACCACCACCACACAAGACGATTCCGGATCGCGAGGTCGAGCTTACTAGGACGGGGGAAAGCGGATTTAGTATTCGGCCAAGGAGCTCGGACGGCGAGTCACGTCCCTTCTGCGGCGACTACGGGACGCGGAGGTTTGAAGATTGCTGAACTAAACTGTCAGCCCCGCGAGCCATGGCTGCCGCTCGCCCTCCTCCCGCGGAGCCAGAAGGTTGTGGGTTCGAGCCCCACGTCGGGCCTCGGAATCGATATAGTTCAGGCTGTCACTCCAATGCAGTGTTGGGGGGTGGGGGGGGGGGGTTGGGGTCCTACGCTATCAGAGATGCTGTCCTGTAAAGACGAGACGTTAAACCCGAGGTCCCGTCTGCCTGTTCAGGTGGCCGTTAAGGATCCCGCGGCACTACACAGATAGGGAAGGGTCGCCCCTGCATTTGGAGGGTCAGCTCGGACGGTGTGTGGGTGTGTGTGTGTGTGTCAAAAAAAAACACTGCTTTTAATTGCGGCGGCGGGAGAAGGAAGGCCACAAAGCGTACAAGGCACCGGCCGCACAGCACCGCGCGCTGAAAAGCAAAAAAAAAAACAGACACAAGTTTTTAATTCCTTGTCGATCACCTGAACACTTGCGTCAGGATAAGGACGTCGCCTCCCTATACCAACAGGTCGTCTGACCAGGATCCAGCACATCCCCGTGTAAATTAGCCGACCATTGATCACCGCCAATCCCAAGATTGTGTCTGAAAATCTTAATTTACGGAGCGCTGAGCGGGAACCCAGTTGTTAGTCGGTTGGCGGATGGCTTTCTGGGGGAAATAATCCCTCCAAAAAAAAAACGAACGAACGAATGAGCCGGAAAACATTCGTAATCCGGTCGCTCAATCCACGGCCGTTTGTGGGGACGCCGCCGCGCGCGCAATCGGCGGCCGCGTTTGCCCCCACAAAACGCACAGTCAAGTCGCTTCGCGGTGAAGTATGTCCTGCGCAGCGCCTGGGGACGTCTCGGAGACCCGAGAAGGCGCCGCGTCAAATGCAACGGTTATTATTATCAATAACATTCGTCACTCTCCTCAGGAGCGTTCATTTTCCCCAAAGCGCTAATAATGACATATTGTGCACAACGTTATCGCAACACAATGATACACAACAATGTCCATATATATATATATATATATATATACATATATCTATTATATATAAATAAACACAATGAGGTAATAATTGATAACCCTATAAACAACTGAAAGTAGAAACTTTAAGCACAGTATAAATTCTCGGGGTATTAAAATGCTGAGGATTCACCAGAAGACGATACCCTGTGAGTCAGTTCCCGAAGGCCGGATATTTCACGTTCGGAACAGCGACAACAACAACACCACCACCACCAACAACACCAACAACAACACCAACAACACCAACAACAACACCAACAACTCGCATTTATATGGCGTCCTTCACGCAGAGCGCGTCACCGACACTCAACATTATACCTTTACAGTATATTCTGTGAAGCGCTTTGAGACGTCTCGAAGACGTGATAAGGCGCTGTGTCAAACGCAGAGGATTATTATTATTATTATTATCATCAACGCCCACCGCCCCCGACACACACACACACACACACCGCCCCCGACACACACACACACACACACCGCCCCCCGACACACACACACACACACCGCCCCCCGACACACACACACACACACATCATACAACAGGAGTCAGTGGAGAGACCCTGTACTTGTGCATCACTGTGTGGGGAGAGGAGGAGGGGAGGAAACTGTAACTGGAGCCTCGTCACCAACACCGGTCACTGTGTGTCTGTCACTGTGTGTGTGTGTGACTGTGTGTGTGTGTGTGTCACTCTGTGTGTGTGTGTCACTGTGTGTGTGTCTGTCACTCTGTGTGTGTGTGTGTCACTCTGTGTGTGTGTGTCACTCTGTGTGTGTGTGTGTCACTCTGTGTGTGTGTGTGTGTCACTCTGTGTGTGTGTGTGTCACTCTGTGTGTGTGTGTGTGTGTCACTCTGTCACTGTGTGTGTGTCTGTCACTGTGTGTGTGTCTGTCACTGTGTCACTGTGTGTGTGTCTGTCACTCTGTGTGTGTGTGTGTCACTCTGTGTGTGTGTGTGTGTCACTCTGTGTGTGTCTGTGTCACTGTGTGTGTGTCTGTCACTGTGTGTGTGTCTGTCACTGTGTCACTGTGTGTGTGTCTGTCACTGTGTGTGTGTCCACACACCCCCCACCCCCACACACCCCCCCCCCTCACCTGTACCGCCCGAGTGAAGAAAACTCCCGCATCTGAAGCCAATTTCTTCACATTGAAATCCATCCTTTACCCCTCAGTCCCTCTGTGTCCCTCTGTGTCCCTCACCCTCGGGCCCTGTGTGTCCCTCTGTGTCCCTGTGAGTCCCTCTGTGTCCCTCACCCTCGGGCCCTGTGTGTCCCTCTGTGTCCCTCACCCTCGGGCCCTGTGTGTCCCTGTGTGTCCCTCACCCTCGGGCCCTGTGTGTCCCTCTGTGTCCCTCACCCTCACCCTCGGGCCCTGTGTGTCCCTCTGTGTCCCTCACCCTCGGGCCCTGTGTGTCCCTCTGTGTCCCTCACCCTCGGGCCCTGTGTGTCCCTCTGTGTCCCTCACCCTCGGGCCCTGTGTGTCCCTCTGTGTCCCTCACCCTCGGGCCCTGTGTGTCCCTCTGTGTCCCTCACCCTCGGGCCCTGTGTGTCCCTCTGTGTCCCTCACCCTCGGGCCCTGTGTGTCCCTCTGTGTCCCTCACCCTCGGGCCCTGTGTGTCCCTCTGTGTCCCTCACCCTCGGGCCCTGTGTGTCCCTCTGTGTCCCTCACCCTCGGGCCCTGTGAGTGTCTCTGGTGTTGAGGGCTCCGCCGCTTATCAGCAGCTCATCCATGTCAGCGGTCGGCGACTGCTCTGCCTCTTAAAAGGGCAACGCAGCCACACACACCCCCCTCCGGCCCCACCCCTTCCCTTCTTAAACGGGCAACACCACCACTCCATCTGCTCCTCATAGTGTGTACGCGTGGGTAGAGGGCGGGGGGGGGAGGGTGTATGTATACGTATGTTTGTGTGTGTGTGTGTGTGCATATACGTGTGTACGTGTGATGGAGACGTGTGCATTATACGCACGTGTGTGTGTGTGTATGTGGGGGGGGAGGGGAGTCCACCCCACCCACTTATAATAATAATAATAATCCTTGCCTTTGATGCAGCGCCTTATCACATCTTCGAGACGTCTCACAGCGCCTTCACAGGAATACACTGTAAAGCAAATCGACCGTATATGTTGAGGGCGAAAAACGCGGCAGCCAATTCCGCGCAGCAGCGTCCCCACAAACAGCTGTGGGTTGAAGTGACCAAATTATTATTATTATTATTATCATCATATTTATATCAGCTCTTATATCATTAGAGTTTCATAATGATCTTAGTGTTACGCCCACAAAATATACAGTCATTTCACTTCAATCGATACCAATTCAAAACGAGGTGATAAGGCGCTGTATCAAACGCAAAGAGTAATATTATTATATTACTAGTGTTATCATCATCAACAAGCAGAGATACTGCCTGAATTATTATATTTATTCTATTATATTTCTTCCTACTCCCCCACACTTCAACCCCCCACCACCCCCCCCCCCCTCCCACCACCGCATTTAATAGGGGCAAATAAAATAAAGCAGAGAATATAAGCCACTCCATCTGTATCATTGGTAATCAGTAGCACCGGCTCTTGAAACAAGCAATGGACATGTTCACTGTCTTCTCTCCATCAGGTTGTATGTAACATGATAGAGCACAGTTTACCAAACTCTATCTCTGGGATTTTCCATGTGTGCGTGGGGGTGGGGGGTGGGGGAGGTGGGGTGGGGGGGGGGGGGAATGCATGGAATTCTCAGCTTGGTTTGGATCCGCTTAAGCACGGGGGTGGGTTTCCGCGTGTGTCGGACACCCGGCTGACAAAAAAAAATGTTCTACCGACCACTCGATCGCCCTTCTCTCGACATCGCTGGACCCCGTTCTGATGTGAGAATAATTGCAGCTGTGTGTGCGCGGGTGGGCGCGCGCGTGCGTGGGCGCGTGCGCTCTATTAAGAGCGCTGTACAGTACAGTAGTTCATCCGCAAAGTCACACGATACGCAGCCGAGACCACAAACGGCAGAGCAGCTGACTTGTTGAATCATTTAGCATCGAGGTACTGCCTGGTTCTCTTCTAACGGTCACCAGCGAAAGCGAACAGAGAGTAATTGTTTCTGATCACAATGGAGAAGTTGACCGTTTATCTGCCGGCTGCTCTTTCACTCGACGGCAGCCCTTTTCGCGCCAGCTTTCTGCCCTCTTCCCTTTACTCCTGTAGCTCAGTGGTTAGAGCACTCGCTTTGCATAGTGAGAGACCTGAGTTCAATTCCAGGCAGAGGGCGAAACCTTGGGCAAGTTTCCTTACTCCACACAGAGCCTAATAATAATCCCTCCAAAACCAAAAACAATAATAAATTGGTCATTTTCAATCTACGACTGTTTGTGGGACATTGCTGTGCGCCATTGGCTGCCGCGTTCGCCCACAAATATACAGTCAATTCACTTTACAGTGTGTTCTGTGAAGCGCTTTGGGACGTCCTCCCGACGTGAAAAGCGCTATATCAAATGCGAGGATTATTATTATTATTATTATTATTACTCGAGACCCTGCCCTGAAGGTGGGTTTCACACGGGTGTCAGCTGCCTGGATTCTGTAACCTTGTAAAAATGACCATTCTCAAAGCACGAGTTGTTGTTGTTGTCGTCGGCGGCGGCAGCTCAACAGCCAAGCTCGATCCTCCTCGAGGCGCAGAACTCTCTCACCTTCAAGAGGTTGTGGGTTCAGGCTCCAAATCGGGGCTTTGAACTCACAGCCTCGGCTGACACACCGGTGCAGCGCTGGGGGGGGTGTGGGGGGTGGGGGGGTGGGTTGGGGTGGGGTCTGCTTTGTCAGAGGTGCCGTCTTTCGGATACGAGATGTTAAACCGAGGTCCCGCTTACCTGTTCTGTCCAGGTGGACGTTCAAAATTCCACAGGACTTCTCCCGGTGTCCTGGCCAACAGGTGGGTGGGTGGGTGGGTGGGGAGGGAAGGAAAGAGGAGGTGTCGAGAGAATAAGACCTGTAAACTAATTGAAGTCTTATCAAGCTCTCAATATTGCACAGAAACTGTGAGATTCAGCAGTCGCTCAAGTGGGTGTTTATCTGTCCGCAGAGAGCTGCCAATCAGTGCTATCGTTCAAGTCATTCTCCCCGTTCTTCATTGTTATATATATATATATAATTATATATAATAACGATAATCTTTGCATTTGATACAGCGCCTTATCATGTCTTCGAGACGTCTCAAAGGCGCTCCACAGAATCTACTGCGAAGTGAATTGACTGCGGATTTGTGACATTCCAATCGCTTCGCGCGCCTTCGTGCAATTTGCCGGCACTGCTGCCCGGCTGAACGATAATACATTGACAACGGTTGTTTGCTGTTCTCAATGGGACCCACATCCTCGCAGAACTTGAGCTTCCAACTTCCTAATAAACCTGGCGCAAATGGTTCTGGAAACCAGGACCGGGTCTGGCTGCTTTATCTTATCACACGAATCTTAATGGAGTTGCGAAGCCAACTCAAAGAGTGCTTCATTCATCAGCGATGGAAACGTAACACTTCCAACGAAAACAGCTCACTTGTTAAATGTTATTTACTTTCCCCCCCCACCCACCCCCCCCCCCACCTCCACCCACCCCCAGCTGGGAAGGTGTGCTGCATGGAGACTGGCTCCAGCTCAGGTGGAGGTGGTATTTCTCACGGACCGCGGCTTATCTTTTCGCCCACAAAATACACAGCCAATGCACTTCCCGGTTCATCCCGTGAAGCACCTCGAGGTGTCTCGGAGTCGTGATCAGGCGCTGTGTCAAACGCAAGGACTATTATTTATTTTCTCATTAATCAGTAAGCGACTGGTGCACCCGGCTTCCAATACACGTCGGTTATATTCATTTGTGCTTAACGTGTGGACACTTCTGCAACCTTAACACCAAGATTAATCCGTCAGAAGTCAGCCGATGGGCCACTTCTCGCGGTTCAAAACCAGAAACACCTTTCCCTCTGCAACCAGGACTTGTCTGCATTGCAAACACTCCACCTAGCGTTCAGGCCGGACACTGGCGAAGTTCAACTCCGCAGAGCAGCAGTGAAGGTTTTGTTCCCGGCCGCAAGATTAAAACCTTCAAATACTTCTCCGGGGCTCTGGCTGTGGACCTGTGTGGTGGAACTATCAACCCAGCAACGGAAACGGAGGTGCGTGGAGTAAGGAACCTTGCCTCAGGTTTCGCCCTTCCTTTGCAAACAGCCTTTTGAGAACAAGTGTGCACTTTAGTTATTATTATTATTATTATTATTAATGTGAAGCTCCACAAGTCAGAGGAAGGCTCTACTACAATAACAACAACTTGCCTTTACATAGCGCCCTTCACACCGGACGGCATCCCGGAGCGAGCGCTTGGACAGAAGACAGTGCAGCCCTGCTAATTCTTGTACATCTTTATTTTATTTAACGTGAGGAATTCATCCTTTGCAAGGCGTTGCGGAATAGTAAGTAAGTGTGCCGAGGACATGATGGGTTAAATATTAAAGCCATTCCCCCCCCCCTTCCCCCCCCCCCCTGCCCTGTCCGCCGCGCCCAGCCCCGCTTCTCTCGTGGTTACAACCGCCTATAATAACAACAACATGCAAGGAAAGCTCGCTCGTCCAGGCCGTTGTATCTGTCGTTCTACCCTCAGAGGCTTTCCTTCACTCCGGCAGTGAGCGACGGGTAGGAGCAGACTGACTGCACGGCAGAGGAGTGGTCTCGCTGCCCTTTCTGTCGCCCTATTTCATTGCCGAGGGCTTTGTGTCAGCCCCGGCCCCGGCCCCCGACCGTACACGGCACAGTTTTAAGCGCTGTGCGGATCCAGAGCTCCGGTCAGAGCTACACGATGTGACCATCAACCCACTGGCACAGGCGCCTGGCGTATTTGTCCGGATTGACGGTGGAGAAGGATTGTCCCCGGTGCCGGATGCACTTCCAGAGGTACTCGATCTTCTTCCGGAAGCCGTACACTGTAAACATGTCGACGATGCCCACAAAGTAACGGAACTCGGTGCCGTCGATGACGTGAAGCGGGTTTTTGTAGCCGGGCAACAGTCTGCGGTTCTGTGCCGCAACCTCGGGCACTTCCAGCTCCGAGCTCCCCCCGGGCATCAGCTTCTCCAGCGGGATCTCGCTCCTGGAGTGAGGGGGAACCTCCTTGGACTGGCCGAGCTCCGCGTCGCGCTCCATCTCCAGGACCGAGGACGCCTCCTCCACGAGCCCCGGGATGGGAGCCCGGGTGGAAGTTGTGGGGCTGCCCCCGGTGATCATCGACCTGGTCAACAAAGGGCGGAAGCAATTGAGGAATTACACCCACCACTCGAAACGACTTGCTGCGGGACTTCCCGTCCCGACAGCTCGGGCGTCAGCTCGGCTGGTATATTCTGTGAAGCGCTTTGAGGCAACTCAACGACTTGGTAAAGCTCTATATCAACTGCAAGGATTATTATTAATTAATAATAATTATTATTATCATAGGGACTGGTTTGGTCCGTAGAGACTGACACACAACGCGGAGCTGCTTCCTCTCTGACAAGCCACCGGCCACTACAGCAAGGGAGCTTGTTTGGTGTGGGAAGTGGGGGTGGGAGTGGGGGGAGGGGGTTGGGGGGAGGAGGTGGGGGGGTTAGGGTCCGCTTACTTCTTGGTCCGTAGAATAATGTTGGCAAATGACGAGCTCAGGCGTCGCTCATCGGGGTGCAGGGGCTGGAAGGCCACCAGGAGGCTGTAGTCGATGACATTCCAACCCTTCAGGAACTCGGTGTCGATTTCAATTTGCCGAATGAACCACGACCGCTGCTGATCTGGAACAGAAACATTCGGCGTGACGGCAGCTACACTACAGCCGATCAACGGCCGCCTTCTCACAGCCACTGGCACAGGCACGAGGCACGCCGGGCCGAATGGCCTCCTTCTGTGCTGTAGTGTTCTACGATTCTATTCGCCCACCCTTCAAGGCTGAGCGATGCACAGTGCCTGCGGCTCGCAATGCAGTATATCCCGTGAAGCGCTTTGAGACGTCTCGACGACGTGCTAAAGGGCTGGATCAAACACAAGGATTACTTATCATTTGTAGGAAAAACCCCGTCATAAGTGGATTGCCGGCTGAGTAGCCATTCTTACCCAGACCAATCATATTGCCCTTGAAGTTCAAGTCTTTAAGCACCACGATGATCTGGCTGCCCTCGGGGGAAGGGTCTGTCCAGCGACTGACCTGGCATCCCTTTATGTCGTATCTGTATCAAATTTGAAGACCATTTACTGTACTGAATAGTCAAACATCACTGGACCATACCTCATCAAACTGCAACACACAGTGTACTGTAGTGCATCAAACAGCACCACTGCACTGATTCTTACACAGTATATATATATATACACACATACACACATCTATAATATATAATATAGCGGTAGGTATCAGCCTGGTTCAGTTGGGAGCACTCTCTGGGACAGAAGACTATAATCCTAAGTGTCACGTTAGACCGTGAGTTCACAGATTGGTGGACACCGGTGAAGTGCCGGGAAAGACAAGGTCCCATCTGCCTGTTCATCCGGATGTTGGAGAACCCGCACCGCGACTCGGGAAGAGAAGGGAATTTCTCACTGTGGTTCCAGCCAACAATCCGTCAGACAAATCGGTCAATCACCTCCTGGCTGTTTTGTGGGACATTGCTGTTTGCCGCCATTTTCGCCTACAAATAGACAGTCGCTGCACTTGACGTCAATTCCCTGTGAAGCACTCCGAGGCTTTAGATTTATTCAAAGGTTACATACCGGGCGACGATTCTTTCATCCGGGTAGAACACGCTCTGCATGATAATGAAGTACTTCTGCCAAAAGAAAGATAGGGTTCACAGAACGTGCAGCATTTTGAAGGCAATCCTCAGAGCCAATGGATTTATCCTTCAGATCGTGAAGAGGGTATCAGCTGTGATAGCGCGTAAACACAGCTCATTCTGCAGTGCCGGAAAGTCAACCACTGGGAGGTAGCACTCGTGCACTAAATATTACCGCATCAACCGTGTGCGCCCGAGGATTTGAACCTGAACGCGTTTGATGCCCTACATTTTCCCAATGCACCGCCATACACTGTATTCTCCAACGCAGGTATTGGCCTGGCTCGACTGGTAGCACTCTTGCTGCCTCCGAGTTAGAAGGCTGTGGGTTCACGTCCTACATCGATGAGGTCGATGCTCCGGTGCTGGGGTTGTTTAAGAGGAATCGACCTTCAGATGAGACGTTAAGCCAAGGACCCAAGCACTATTCGTAAAGGGCAGGGAGTTTATCCCTGTGTCCTGGCCAACCTGAGACATTTGAAATGAAGTGGTAAGGGGTTACCGTGTAGAATTATTATTACTGAACTAGTGAAAGCAAAAAAAAACAAAAAAACAAAACACCAGCAAGTCTTCATTCTAAAATCTTAGGTTAACTTGTCCTGATCCAGCGCTGGTGTGATAGTCTTGGTACACATCATATCATCACATTGCACACAACGTATACAGTCAATTCACTTTACAGTATATTCTGTGAAGCGCTTTGAGACGTCTCGAAGACATGATAAGGCGCCGTATCAAATTCAAGGATTATTATTATTATTATTATCATACATTGGAGAGTACTGAAATGTTCTTACCTTCCGCCCCTGTGGCAGACTGACACTATGAACACCTACAAAAGGAAAGAGAGAACCGAGGTTGACTACAAGTGACCAAACTAAACCAAAAACATCTTGAAATGATTTGAAATGAATGAAGGACAGCAGAGGCCGCCCAGTGATGTGCCGCATCAGGTCAGGCTGGCGAAGAGATTAGTAAATAACAGATTCCAGTGACCGAGTAGCTGGGTTGCCATTTGATCAAAAGGGAATCGGAACTGAGATTATATTGTAGCCCTTAGCAGTCTTTTGTCTACGACTCCGAAACTCTGGAACTCTCTCCCTCAACCCCTCCGCCTTTGCTCCCTCCCTCCCTCCCTCCCCATAGACCTTCCTTTTTGTCCGTGCTTCCCTCTCCCCTTCGTTCTCCCTCTCCCCCCGGCTCTGCGTCAGAACCTGCCACTGTCAAGCGCTCCGGGACACTATATAAACGCAAGCATTACGTCCCATTACACAGAAAACATTGCAACGTCCTATTACACACAAAATAAAAAGCATCACTGCTTCAGTCGCAAAAATGCTGAATCTTTGGGGGGTGGTGGGGGGTGGTTTCTGCCTCACCTAGAAACTTGACGAGGAGTGAGTGGGGGTAGTTCTGAATGTGTTGGATGTATGACTTGAGTTTTGAGAGCAGGAATTTAATCTCTCGCTTCTTCTGAGTTTTCAAGAATACCCTCTTGTCATTTCTGAGTGTGTGTGTAAAAAAAAAAGAAACAATAATTAGTAGTTTTTCTTTCTCAAAGGTCAGCGCTGATCACCTGATAATCAAGGATAGTGACTGTCCTCCTTGGGGGAGGTAAGTGTCATCTACAAAGTGACGTGCTTGGCAACGAGATATCTGGATCTTGGAATCGAGTCAATCCTCTGTGATGGTCTCTCTCTCTCGGTAGCCTGGTTCCTGAGCCGGGCGGGTCTTCAGTACTCCAGGGCAAAGCCCTAACGGATAGGGTGGTCCTGGCTGGACAAGCAGTGGGAAAGCTTGCCAGACAGCGCTCTCCACGGCAAGCTACGCGGTGTTAGCTGGTTCGACTTCAGCAGTATCTCAACGCACACTCTGGTATTCCCCAAGCCTTGGCTCTTGCCAACCTGCGCCTAATGCTCTCTGGAATTAGGTAAACAGGATGAGTCCCTCTGGGGAGAGAGAGAGAGAGAGAGAGTGCTCATGCCCAAACATGGGGATTTTCATGTACGGGTGACACTGCATGGAACTCTCAATCTGGTTTGGATGCTCTCAAGTACGGTGATGGGTTTCCGCAAGAGTCAGATACCCAGCTGACCTGTCCCCCGCAAACATCGACCACTTCACCCTGTAACGATGGTGGTGCCCACTGCGATGAATGTCCTATTGCTTTCACTGGACATATATCGGACCTTCATCTGGTCCAAATCTTACTCACGTGAGGAAAAAGTTGGCCTTGCTCTTGGAGTTGCTGATAAACTGAAGGTAACACCCTTCGGAGGCTAAGGAGTGCTGGTATTCCTTCTCAGTCATTCCCAGAGTCTGTCGGAACTGTGCAAACACAGAGGCTGCGTACGTCTGCATCTCGAACCCCTGCCACAGACAACAGAGGAAAAATCACAGCTAGACGCTGACCATCCCAGGTCTAAGTCGCTTTAGAGTCCATTCTGTGAAGCGCTTTGAGACACCTCAACGGTGTGAGGAGGCCCGATAAAGACCGTTATAAAGACTCCCAACTCTCGCACAAGTTGCGAGATAGCTTGCGGGCCACTAATATGTTGACAGACATCGAAATAAAATGTGAAGAAAACCATTCCTGCTACATTATTGCCGGGGACTGATGGAACATAGGAACAGGAGAAGGCCATTCAGACCCTCGAGCCTGTTCCGCCATTCTATTAGATCACGGTTGATCTCCGTGCTATAAAAAAAAAACGACTCTTAGTGCTGACTGTCTCCAACAGGTGGTTGTAAAGCTTTTCTAGCTGCTTTGATGGAATATAGGACTAAAGTATGTAACACAAGGCCGTTCACAGCCATCAGCAGCCTTGGTTGACCGGAATTTCAGGTCATAAATTGGCATCTCGATGATCTTTTAACACTTCTAACCCTCTCAAAAGTACGAAACCCATTAACCTTCCTTGATCAAAATGAACTGCAGACGCCAACACTCTCACCAAAGCTTATTGGACCTAATTTGCAGGACTAGAGACCATTTGCTGGCTGATAACTTGAACAACAACAACTTGCATTTATATAGCGCCCTTCACCCGGGGCACAGAGTCCCAGAGAGCTTAATAACAGTGAGAAATGGAGAGGTGCCTCACCTTATGCACCTGAGTCAGGACAGCTTTGAAGTCCGGGTCGCTGAGGGTGCTCTGGAAAAGGAAAAAAAAAGAGTGAACACATTACACGCGCTGTATAAATTCTCGACGTCATAGCCTTGCTCTGTTGGGTCATTAATACAATGGACGCTTCTCCTGTGAAGGTTTCTCCCAAGCTCCCAATTTCTTTCTCCTGCAAATTCCTCCCTCTTCCCTGCATCGCGAAGGGCAAAGGCTACCTTCAGTCCCTGGGCGTGGGTGGCTTTGGTACAGGTGTCAGATAATAAAACAACTGGACCCTAACTCACCAGCTATTCAACTCCCACTCACAGACTCTGACCTGCTGTTTGTGCAGCATTTCAAACCAAAGCTTCATAGAAGTTACATAGCGTGATACAGCGCGGAAACAGCCACTTTGGTATTTACACACCATAAGGCCCTCACCCCCAACCGCTCCTCTTCCCTTCTACTCTCTTCTCTTTCATGTATGGATCACATTTTCTTTTAAATATGTTGACGCTATTTGCTTCAATTGCACCTTCCATCAGTGAGCTTCACATTCTGCCTTGAGGAAGTTCCTCTCGATTAGATCTACCGCTCGCTATCTTATTGTGGGCCCTCCGGTTACGGACTCACAAACAAGTTCCCGCAAAATACGCAGTCGATTCACTTGACGGTATATCATGAGAAGCGCTTAGATGACGTCGCGACGATGTGATAAGGCGGGACATCAAATGCCAGACCTAATTTGCAGGACACTGGAAAAGAATATTATTGTTATTATTATTACTGAACTGAAAACTCTGCCAGTAGATGGATGAACCTACCAGGTTGGGGTTGTCAATTGAGATTTGCACTGCAGCTGCTAACCCTTCCTTCATCACGCAAGTAAAATAGTAAAACTCGTGGTCTGAGTCGATCTCGAACAGACCCAAGAGTTTCCACTTCTGCCGGAGACGCCATAGAAACTTCCCCTTCATGGTCGGTCGTTGATTAACGCTTGCCTCTCGGTTCTCTGCCTAAAGAAACAAACAACAGCAAATTGCATTTTTATAGCGCCTTTCAGGAGGACGTCAGGAGGACGTCCCAAGTCGCTGGACAGTCAGGGATCTGCAGTACAAGCACAAACGGGATCAGTGGCACAGACCCCTTAATCCTTGATCCACTCAGGCTCTCGCTGGTTTTCAGACACATCTTTTCTTTCTCTAATCTCCCACTATTGCCATCTTTTGTCTCGCACCAACAACACGTCAGTGATCTCGTCATCTCCTGTCCTCCACCTAATTTTTTCCTGTGTCTTTCTCTCCCCGCCCTCTTCTCCGTTTGTCCTTCTAAACTGCTCCCTTCCAACGTCCCCCAGTTCTGACCAGAGGTCATCAACCTGAAAAGTGAACCCACTTTCCTCTCTCCATAGGTGCCTGCCTGACCTGCTGCGTGTTCCCAGCTACTCCTGTGTTTAGTTCAGATTTCCAGCATCTGCAGTATTTTGCCTTTTATTCTCTAGCTTGCTAGGCCTTGTTAAATTTTCTGCTGAGATTTGCATAGGCTCAAGGTTGCAAGCCATTTTACAAAAAAACTAGTCACTCTTCGGGACGTGAAGCAACGATTTCAGCCTAAATGCTGTCGTGCTCCCCGAGAGCCACAGCAACTGAAATGACCAGGCCTCACTCTGCATTCAGGCAGCCAAAGTCATTCCTGCCAGAAATGCTGTACGCGAGTTAGAATTTGCCAGGAAGGGCGTCTGAGATCAGATACTGTTAAGGGACAGTTTGATTTTGCAATGGGAGAAAGCAGGGTTTAGTATTTCTGTAAGGATCCCTTTGGCTAAGCTTGTGATGAGGAATTCAGGGGGAAACTCAAATGTATGAGATGACTGTGTTACGTTGTAAAACACCGAGTGTTAAACAGTAACTGAAATAACCGCAGTCAGAAGTGCAGTGTATTAGAAACGCAACTAAAACCAACAGACTCGCTGCATCAGATACCGGCCGAGAAGGAACTATCAGCTTTAAAAATCTTAAGAGAATTTGGGGCCGTTCATTGCAAGAACCGGTCCTCTTAAACTTTCACTCATACCGTTTGTGATTTGACATCTCACTTGAGCTCTTCTAACTTATTTGGTTTGATATGCAATCCATACGTGGCCAGTGTTTAACAATAATATTGTTAAGTGTTTGATGTATTAATGCACAAATAAGCCTGAGCTGCAGATCAACACAGATGTTAGAAATATCCAAGAAGGGGAGTGCGTTCAAAGCCAGGTCCTCGAGAGTTAAATAACAAGCGATGCTTCACATATCACAGACCAGAGACAAATAAACCATCTCCACAGATCTCTGAGCTGCAACCTTCATACGAGGAGAACAAAGAGCATTGATTCTACAACAGCGTATCCAATCACTCATAAACCATCATTCTGATTAACTTTCTGCTGCACTAACAGTTCAGTGACTGACTTACTTACCTCCCTCTCGCTCTCTCTCTCTCTCTGAACTTGCTAACTGGCATCAGCTTCCCTACATATCCTGCTTGGTCATACTCCTTTGTGAGGACGCTATTAAATACTGCAACCATGTGTTCTCTATTGAACAAGCTGGAGGATTCCATTGTCTGTAATCTGCTTATTCATTAGTGCCTTATGAGGGGGTTGTAACATACACACAATATAAAAACACTTGCCATGTACCAACACACGCAGAACAGGAGGCGAAATTCTGAATTGCTTTGACACTCACTCACTCGCTCGCTCTTCATAGGTTGAAAAAGATGCAGCAAACAAAGTGTGTTCACAATTGTCACCCGATATTGTGGCAACGTGCCACAAAATATGTGTGATTAGTTGCCACCCCTGGTTTGTAACGGCTTTAGATCGAACCTGAAAAAGGCTGGGAATCAGTCACCCGTTCCGACGCAAGGTCATCGGCCTGAAACGTTAACTCACTTGCCTCTCTCCGTAGATGCTGCCTGACCTGCTCAGCGTTCCCAGCCACTTGTGTTCTCAATTCACCCTTTTTTTAAAACTGGCTCATGCAAAATGACACCACAATGACAGAAGTCACTTGAGTTAAGCGCTCTGGGACGCTCCCCTGCCTGAGGAGCGCGACATAAATGCAAGTTGTCGTTGTTGTTGTGAACGCCCAAGGTCTTTTTGCTCCATTTTACGACCTCCGCACACCGCGTTCAAGCAATCTACCCATCAATAGCCCCAAATACTTCTTCTGTTCCTGACGTGAAAGGCGCTTTATAAATGGAATCTTGTTGTTGTTGTTGTTGTTGTTGTTGTTCCAACATCCCTCTCCAGCCTAACGTGCTGCAGACCCTTTACCTTGCATTACCATTATTTATTTCTCCTTCCCCCAATCTCAGCACTCTGCATTTGTCCATATTAAATTACGTTTTCCGCCCATCAGCCCGACTCCATAATCTACCCCGACTTCTTTGTATTTGGTCAGCCTGTTCATGGTTTGGAATTCCGCTCAGTTTTGGTGTCATCAGCAAACTTTGACAGCTTTGTTCCAATCCTCAATTCCAAATCATTTAGATATAAACAGTATAAATAGCACGAGTCCTTGTCCAAATCCCTGAGGCGACAACTGCAACTTGCATTTGTATAGGCACTGTGCCAGTTACCTCCTTATGTGCCCATGTATCTCCATCCATGTACAATGGCCCCACTGTTTCCTTGAAATCAGGCTTTCCATTCTACTTCAGAAGATTCACCACTATTCTGTGTGCCTTCCTGTACCATCTCCATCTATTCTGTACTTTCCAAAATGCAGAAGAACCTCCTGTGAGCAGGCAAGCACCGCGTCAGAGGCTCGGCTTCAAATCAAAACATCCATCGAATCTCCCTTGTTTATACGTTCAGTTCATCTCTTCGTGGAACGCCAAGAGATCAGTTAGGCGCAATTCTCTCCCTTCCCCCACCACACCACCAGCTCACCTGCTGGCTTTTCATGCTGCAGATATCTAACTCACCCGCCTGCACTTCCCCTTACGTTACCTATTTGCCCTTTCTGTAACTTGGTACCAAATCCCATCTCAGACACAATTCCCGTGTTACCGTGGATTCCTAAAGTTACTCACCAGTTGATAACCAATTTCATCAGCCACTTCCTTATCTACCCTTGTCTGCTCTTCCATGCTTTGTCCGAACCTGGCTTCACCTCCTGCACCACAGTCTGCATCTGTGATTCTTAAGAGGGTGAGCTCCCGGTTTCAGTCACGCTGCCGTGTGCAAATGGCTGTCACGTTTCCCCCACATAATATACAGTCAACTCACTTTACAGTATATTCTGTGAAGCGCATTGAAACGTCTTGAATACGTGATAAGGGGCTATACCAAATGCGAGGATTATTATTATTATTCTACCATAAGCACTTGCTAAGTGGAGGCGAGCTACTAATACTTGCCCATAGGAGGGGCAGAACACTCTATATTAAAGTGGGTAGATCCTATTATTTTAACAATAATAATAATAATCCTTGCATTTGATATAGCGCTTTTCACGTCGGGAGGACATCCCAAAGCGCTTCACAGAATAGACTGTAAAGTGAATTGACTGTATATTTGTGGGCGAACGCGGCAGCGAATGGCGCACAGCAATGTCCCACAAACAGTCGTAAATTGAAAATGACCAATTTATTATTGTTTTTGGTTTTGGAGGGATTATTATTAGGCTCTGTGTGGAGTAAGGAAACTTGCCCAAGGTTTCGCCCTCTGCCTGGAATTGAACTCAGGTCTCTCGCTCGCAAAGCGAGTGCTCTAACCACTGAGCTACAGGACTCCACTAATAGTGAAACCTGTGTTAATGGGGACGCTTTCTCTCACCGGACAGCAGAAGAGGATATGGCACAGTGCAAAAATGCCATCTCTGGTAAATTCCCACCAGGTAAACAATAAATCACAGCAGCCACACATGTGGGAGATACGCAGCAGACGCAAATGCACCTCAGGTACATTCTGAGCACCATTGTTACAGCGGTTACCAGGACAAATAACTTGCTCACAATGCCACAGTCTCGGTGCCATTGTTAGGACGCTGCGTGTACGATTTCGGTAACTTCACAAGCAATGATGTGACTGGGGTGTGGAGGACAATGAATATTATCCCATGATTCGAATAAGGAGTAACATGAGTCTATGAATGACTCCAGTTAGCTGACGGTCTAGGGAGTAAAATGATTGACAGCGTTGTCACGATTGACTTACAAATCCTACTGGAATTTATTGAGCATTGGCACCATCTTCCTGCCCACATGCTTTCTTCCAGCGCCGCTGTGCAATGGAAGGTAAACGATTTGTAGTGAAAACCAGTGAAAGATTTCAACAAGTGGATGACTGGTAACGCTGGTGGTTAAGAGCTTGCTTTATCTGGAGGCCAAAGTGTGATTGATGTTCGTACTTAGATCTGTGCTGCTCATCAGGAAGCTCACCGGGAGGTCCTGGTACCTGTTGTTGTTGTCGTTGTTGTTGTACCTGCCATCAATTCGCTTTACGGTATATTCCGTGAAGCGCTTTGAGACGTCTCGAAGACATGATAAGGCGCTGTAATCGAATGCAAGGATTATTATTTCCCTCTAATGGGGAGGGGAGGGGAGGGGAAGCTGAATTAGTTCCAGGATGACATGCTTGGCAACAGTCCTGGAATCAAGTCAATTCTCTGTTATCCAGTTTCTGAGCCAGGCTGGTAATGCAGGACACTATTGATAGCAGACGAGCCGGCCTGGCTCATCGGCAGGAATCAGAGTGGGAATCAGTAGCCACGTTTGACATATTTGCAAAGAACAAACTAAAATACCATTGCAATTATTACGGCAGCCGTCATCAGGGCAGCATTAGTCGACCTGAGCCCACTTGCCACCATTCTCCTTTTAGCGGCCGCGAGCGCAAAGCAAATAAACCGCAAAAGAAAAGAAACAAACGAGCAAACGGTCTCTTCGGTCAGGCTTCGATTTCGGTTTAGCGTCTAGAACCTTACCTCCTCGCTCATGGTTGATGGGAACCGAAGTCTTGGAAGCAATCTGCCCTTTCTGTGCAGCTGAGGATCAGCTGTTAAAGTGCCTGTTCCTGGCGTGTCATTCTCCTTTCTGCCTGGCAATAGCTCAGCTCATGAGATCTGCACAGATTTTCTCCACACACACACACACACACACACGCACACGCGCGCAAACACTGCCTGTCCTGCCCGCTGCTGCTGCTGCTGATAATGATGATGCAGTTCTGTTCTTACAGCATAGAAATTTGCCAACAGCAACATCATAGCTCCAGCCTTTTGGGTGGCATCACATGGACTGTACCTTTGCTTTGCACACTGCAGGGGGTGTCCACATGCATCGGAACTTTTAACCACAAATTTGACTGTAAACCCTTCCCTGGACATCTCATCTGAAAGCCGCCCTTTTTGGAGGACAAAACGGTTGCAGCAGAGCAATCATTTCTAATGCGATTCGTGGAAAAGCCTGCAGAGAGAGAGAGAGAGAGAGAGAGAGCGCGGCAGCCTTATAACCGCCTAGTTTTAGGGTTGACAGGACTATTATTGACTGCCCTGCGGTAGAATGAAAGCAGTCACCGCCCCAGCAAAGTGCTACAGTGCAGCTACTTTGCAATCAACATTGCTGGATTTCCTCTGCAACACACACACACTCACTCACTCCCTGACAAACCTTGGGCAAGTTTCCTTACTCCACACAGAGCCTAATAATAATCCCTCCAAAAACCAAAAACAATAATAAATGGGTCATTTTCAATCTACGACTCTTTGTGGGACATTGCTGTGCGCAATTGGCTGCCGCGTTCGCCCACAAATATACAGTCAATTCACTTTACAGTGTGTTTTGTGAAGCGCTTTGGGACGTCCTCCTGACGTGAAAAGCGCTATATCAAATGCAAGGATTATTATTATTATTATTATTGACCCAGCACCAAGACCAGAAAGTGCTGGTGAGAGCACAGGGCAAGAGGAGGGAGCTGGTGTTCAGATGGATCCCTTACAGTGGATCCAGACCTCAATAAAATACTCATTAAACAACAACAATATTATATTTGTGCAGTGCCTTTCACGTCAGGAGGACGTCCCAAGGCACTGGGACAACTCTTCAGCGTACAAATCGGCGGTGGTCATTTAGGAGAGGTGAGGGATATACAACTGCGCGCGGAAGGTTGAACCTCTCCGTTAATTGAGTGGACCCTGGGGTACATCTTCTGTGGTATTAAACAGAAAGATCACCCCCACAACTGTCCTGACGCTTTTTGTATAATTGTTGCCAATGTTTGACACGTATCTTGAGCTCACAAATAATGATGCTGTTTGTGCGCTCATCTTATCTAACTCATCCAACGAGGAAGCTTAAGACTTTCATGAGTTCTGTTTTGGAAACGTAAATAGTATGTTGTTGCACATAACTGATTTGTGATTGCCTGGTAACAAACTCACCATCAATCTCATTTAAAATCCTTAGGCTAACTACACCCCCAGTGATGTCTTTCAATTGCATCAAAACAGGAGAATAATAATACTAACCCTTGCATGAGATATAGTCGAGACGTCTCAAAGCGCTTCACAGGACACACAGTAAAGTGCCTTCATAAAGTTTCTGTTCTTTGTCGTTCATGTCTCTCAGGGGCCAGACTGTGAGACCAATAACCACGATTATGTCACCTTTACCCACGTGATCTTTAACCCCATCAGTGTCCCCTGTCACACGAGTGATTAATTTTATGATGGGACTGGTTTCGAGTTTCACACTCACGGGTGACGTGGTGCACCTGCCAACCCTTCACTAGTTGGAAAGATATGCTTGAGACCAGAAAGGTGTTGGACTACATCCATTCAATGCTAATATACTGCCGAGCATAATTCTGTGCAGTTGACACCTATGCAATTAAGCAAAGGAACTAAATAATTCACTTACTTCAGTGACTTGAGCTAACACTAGTTAAGTGCCACTTGTCGGGATCTTTTTTGTGCTATTTGCTCCACACAGGTAACAGTTGTGCTGCTTGTGTCAACCACTGCCGCATTTGCCGACAAAATATAGTCACTACACTTCATAGTAAAATTCTGTGACGCGCTTTGAGATGTCTCGTTTGATATACACACGAGAGAGAAGGGAATGTGGGAGGGAGTAAGGAGTTGTGTGGAGACTCATGTGGAGTATAAATGGACTGGTTGGGCTGAATGGCCTGTGTCTGTGCTGAATGTTCTACGTGAGAAGGTACAGCAACAACAACAAGATTACATTTGTATAGCGCCTTTCACTTCGGGAGGATGTCCCAAGGCGCTGGACAGTGTACAGCATTTCAGACCTGAGCTGGGGTCAGGGGGAGAAGGGAGGGGAGGGGAAGGGGGTGGGGTGACCAATGGCATGGTCAAGGAGGAGGGTTTTGAGGCAAGTCTTGAAGGAGGCTAAGGAGTGGGTGAGGCGGAGTGACTGGGGGATGGAGTTCCAGAGGTTGGGGGCAGAGTGGCTGAAGGCTCTCCCTCCAATGGAGGGGCGGGTGGGTTGGGGGATGTGGAGCAGCCGGAGCCGGCTGAGCGGAGGGAGTTGGCGGGTTGGTAGGGGGTTAGGAGGTCGCAGAGGTAGGGTGGGGCGAAACCGTTGAGGGCTTTGTAGGTGAGGACCAGGATTTTGAACTGGAATCCTCTGAAGCATAGGGAGCCAATGGAGTCGGATGAGAATGGGAGAGATGGGGTCACAGAGTTTGGTGCGGGAGAGGACGCGGGCTGCAGAGTTCTGGATTATCTGCACCTGTGGAGGGAGGATTTGGGAAGGCCGACAAGCAGGGCGTTTGCACAGTCGAGCCTGGAGGCGATGAAGGCACAATATCAAATGCAAAAATGATCATTTACTCATGAAATTCAATCATGAATAAAATGCAATGTTTCCCTTTGCAACAGGAGAGTATTCAGATTCCTGATGATAACTATAAATAATAATGTTAATCCTTGCATTTGATAGAGGGCCTTATCATGTCACCGAGATGTCTAAAAGCGCTTCACAGAATATACTGCGACGTGATTTAACTGCATATTTTGTGGGAAACACAAGGCAGCCAATTGTGCACAACAGTGTCCCAAAACAGTCGTGAGGGAGTGACCAATTTTATTTGGGGGATTGTTGGCTAGGACACCGGGAGAAACTCCCTTCCCTTTTCGAATAGTGCCGTGGAATCTTTAACATCCGGCTGAACAGCCGGGACCTCGGGTTAACATCTCATCCGAAGGGCGACAACTCTGACAATGCAACACCCTCCCCCCGGCGTGCACTGGAGTGTCAGTTTAGACTTAGCGTTTCCAAGTCCCAACATGGGGCTTGAACACACAACCTTCTGACTCAGAGGCAAGAGTGCTACCGCTGCACCAGGCTGACTCACAAATAGTCTCGACTGCTTGAATATTCCAGGATTTTCCCCATGGCTGCACTCGTTTTATTCCTCTATCCGCGGGGAATAATCTCGTGCAATTGGGTGATGCTACAATGACTTGTAAACATCTCAAAAAAAAAACATATTTTTCTGAATACTCCCAGGCGACAGTAATAGCCGTGCAGAAGTGTGTTGGAGCACCAAAGGGACAGGATAGGGTGGCAAAGCATCTGTTCAAGTGCTAGGGAACAAGCAACAAGACCCTCCACACAAGGGAGCCAACGCAAATCAAGCAGTGTGGTCGGCCACACATCTCACAGCATCCGGGAGGCTGAATACCGCTGACAATGATCCGCCCTCACATTGGATAGATTGGCTTTTCACGTCACGAGGACGTCTCAAAGCATTTCGCAGGATTTACGGTAACGGCGAATCATAAAGCGCATGGGGTTAAGGATCTGGAGGCAGATGTTGGGAGAGAATGGTTTGTTTCCCTGTCTTCAGCTGCACTTGGCCCACAAAATCCACAGTCAATTCACTTTACAGCGTGTTCTGTGAAGCGCTTTGAGACGTCTCGAAGACGTGGTCAGACGCAAGGAATATTATATTTTATGATTAGCATTACAAGCGAATTGATCTCAGCTGGTGGCTCCCACAAGAATTAAAGCCAGGGTTTCTGCTCCTCATCACTTATCCAGCATCCTCTGCTGGAAAAAGCGTGTGTTTGCAGGTTGGTTGATGAGGCCATTCACCGTCAAATACCTGCCCAAAGGTTACTATCAGGGCAGAGACATGAAGCATGTGCCTGTGGAATCATCAGCAATAAATCAGGAAAGCAGAAGACAACATTAAGTCATTATTATTAATTATAATAAATAATAATAATTATTATTATTATTGCGCTCGATAAAGGAAATTAAATTGCCCCCTAAACACACAACAGTTAAAAACACAGTTGTGGCTGCACCAATGGGTCATTGTCTAAAATCCAGTAAGTCACACGTTTAGAGACAAGTTCCCCCTCAGTACACTTTGCCACGTTTCACCCCACAAAATATACGGTCAATTCACTTTACAGTATATTCTGGGAAGCGCTTTGAGACGTCTTGAAGGCTTGATAAGGCGTTGCAGCAAATGCAAGGATTATTATTACATTCACTGCAGTTGGTGTAGACTTACCAATCGGTTTTGCTTTAAGAATGACATGTTCGGACCATCTTGGCTCATAACCCTTCGAGCACGTCCAATTCCAACGGAAATGTTTCCAAACCCCCCCCTCCCCCCCCACCCCACCTCTAATGTATCAGGCTCTCAAAGGGCAAAAGTGACACCTAATCATTGAATGGTTCTCAATCATCAATGGAAAGTCACTAAAATCACAGTCATCGCTCTCCCTGTCAAAACCAAAATCTGCAGATGCCACATCCCGTCAGAGTAACCCTACCATCAGAGTGCTCCAAACCCACAGACTGAGTCATCGACTGGATTTTGTGACTCTTCATAATTGAGATTACCTTCAACTTTTATCTGTCATCTATCCATATCTTTTCTGGTATCAGTTCCAGCACCTGTTCCGCGCGCGAGCGCCTGTGTGTCCGGTGTTTCTGCTGCGGGCGACAGAAGGCGTGGGACAAAGTGTCCGTTTGTGTTCACAAGTGCTTCCCCACTTGAATTGCTTTCATTGAGAAGGTCTCCTCTCAACGCTCAGTCCAGTCCTCCTCGTGAGGACAAAGCTTCTCTGAAAGTCACCGCATGCTCCTCTCAATATATTTCTCTGTCAAGTCAATGTGTGAGTGGCTCCTGCCTCCAAGCTGCTAATATAGGAGCGCAAATGTCTTGCCTCAATATCACTGAGAGGCGGAAATCTTTCTGCTCAGAATTGCATCGAGAGAGCTTGTGTCCTTAGTTTTCCTCCCTGAGTAAGAATTCCTCCCTCCTTGCTTCTCCATGTTGCTCCGATTGAGAGCGCGGCCTCCTCCCAATCACTGAGTTACTCGGTGTGTTTGTGTTTCAACGTGGACAAGCTGCCGGGATATCAGAAGGATATCAATTATTAATACTGTACTGCGGGTTGCCAGGAAACGGCAGATAAACAGCATTTTTGCTTTGATAGGTAAGGCTTCCATTTATAGCTCTGTGGGGCTCCAATTCGTAATTGAGAAAGATGTCGTATTCCATTTCAGTTGTCTCCCACACTTGTACATTAACAATGGAAGTGAGAAAAAATGGAAATCTAGATGACATGAAATATATTTTTCTTCCCTTGCTGTGGGTTCTGCTCACATCCACCTGCAGTTACTGCATTCTACTGAATCCTACTAACACCTCACCTGCCTGTTCCGTGTCTCCCACCCTGCCTGCCCGCCTTCAGCTTTTCTGCCCCCACCCACTGGAATTTCATCCCGGAATCCCTTCGCCTTGCCCCCCCTCCACTTGCTTCCTTCAAGACCCTCCTCAAGTCCTTCCTCTTTGACCGTGCCTTTGGTCATGCTCCCACCCCCACCTCCTTCCCTCTCGACTCCGACCCCCAGTTTGGGTATAAATCCTTGACTGTCCAGGGTCTTGGGACCCCTCTCCCGACATGAGACGATATATAAATGCAGTTTGTTCTTCTGTCACATTCTCTCATTTAATTTCGCTGATTTCCAAGTAGAAAATATTTTGACGAAAAGAACATTTAACTTTAATAAAACCAACCGGTTGAGTGATTTAACGGTGGAAGCTGTTTGATGATTTACTTCTTGCAAAGCTCTGGCTCTATGCACTTTTAATCGGAGCCACAGTTTCCCACACTCCATCTTGATTCATTCAAAAGTTTTGCAATAAATCTGCAGATTTTTGTTCTATCCCATGACCCTCATTTGCTAATGAATGTGATCGTTTCATGCTTACGCAGGTTGGTAGTTCCCTTGCCTCTGAATCAGAAGGTCGTGGGTTTCAAGCCTCGTGTTGCAAATGGAGCTCATTGTCCAGTATATAATCGGGGGAGCACTGCATTTTCCGAGGTGCCATTATTCGGATAAGACACTAAACCGATGTCCTGCCTGCATGTTCTCCAAATGACTATTAAGGCTGCCATGGCACTATTTAAAAAGAGAAGGGAATTTCTTCTGGCCAACAATCCTCCAAATAGTTGCTGCATTTCCCTACAATAAGTGATCACCTGTTGATCATTCTGAGGCATTTCAAAGTGACAGTAATGCAAGATCTTTCTTTATGAGGCACAAGACATGCACAGCCTCGTTTGAAAAGGCCCTTTATTGCTCGTATTTAAAAAGGAAAGTAATTCATTACATTTATTTACAAGTCTTTACACTTTTTCCTTATACAAACTAGAAAAGCAAACTTCCAAAACAGGAGATTCCCTTTGTGTCAGTTTACACGGAACCATTTTGTATTTCCCAGAATTATCCCAGTGTAGAGCAGTTATGCCACATTTCAATCAGGTTTAATAATACTGACATCCTCACAGAAACTGCCTTGCACTCGATGACTGATTCCAATAGCCCTATATAGACTTTGTTTGCATAACAATATACAATTCCAACCTTCTGCAATTGAACCTCACAAGTAGAATAAATACACCCAATAATCCAATCTTTATCCATGATCATGACTAAAACTCTATGATCACTTATAGCCAGAGAAGTTGTGGTAAGAACTTTTTTGGTCCATTCTGCCAGTGGGCAATAGCATTTCAGTTTCTCCTGTCAATGCTGACGTGTCCAGTTATACTCTTATTACGTTGTGTAATTTTTGCCTAACAATATTTGAATAAAAAAATGATGCAATGTTCTCTGAAGCTAAATGGATTCTTCAAGGGGTAGTTTGGCAGCCATTGTAAACTAACACAAGGTGGCGCTCGCTGTGTGGTACCAATTTCACTGCAAACTGAAATCATGGATTAATAGAACACAGTGGACAGTCAAAGAAACAATAGTTGGCGGTTGTTCCTCACACACGTGAGCAAAGTGGAAAAGTTTGTTTTCTTCATCCACCGGCTGCAGTTTAATCCGCTGTTTAATTCATTCTCTGACCTTGTAAATTTTTCTCATTTGAATCCTGTTTAATCAGTTTTCTTTGCAGGTTTCTTGTTTTTCCACATAACCACTACAATAAATGTTCCTGAAAGAGAAGAACAGGACACCATTAATACAACAAAACTGCTCAGCCAAACCAACCCTTGCCCTATCCCCAGTGGTGGATCATGTATTACTTTAAATGTAGTGACTGATATGCGGGCAAATACAGCACCTATTCTATATTAGCAATGTCCTACAAATCGTCAGGTGAACCACCAATCAATCTGTTTTGAGGGAGGAATAATGGCCAGGACATCAATAGTGTTCCAAATAATGTCATGGGATCTTTAACATTTTTCTGATCATTCAGATGGGGCCTCAATTTATTAACTTATCTGAATCGCAAGTCTGGTACAGGATGGAACCCTCAATCTTCTGATCCAACAACAACAACAACAAAATTACATTTGTAAAGCGCCTTTCACGTCGGGAGGAAGTCCAAAGGAGCTGAACATTCGGGGATCAGGACTCGAGTATGGGGTGTGCAGGATTGGAATAAGGGAGGGCAGAGAGGTAGGAGGGCGGCTGAAGGCACGGTCAAAAAGGATGGTCTTCTGTCGTGCCTTGAAGCAAGGGAGGGAGCAAGGCGAAGGGATTGTGGGGCAGAGTTCCAAAGGGTAACTTTGATCCAGAAAGATAAGTGTTACTGAGCCAAGCTGCCACATTGTCAGCAGATATTTAAGATCTAATTTGAGGACATTATAGATCCCCCAATTAACAGCTGAAACTTTGGAGTTGCAATACACCCCAGAGTTGACAGAACGGGAATTTATTTTTGTTTAGTGTTAAAACTTCGAGCCTCCGGTAAGTATTTTTCTACTGTAGCCACTTAGGGTCAAAAGGAAGACTAGAATCAACACTGTAACTTCCTGCCTTTCCCATCCGACTTCCTCACTTTCCTCTCTGTTTGACTGGTCTGAGTTCAGAGGTCAAGAAAACGAAATACGAATCTGGCAAGAGGTTGGTTAGCGTTTTGATTCCATGATTACGAGGTGACAGGAGCCGCACAATGAGTCAATGCTGAGCCACTCACCCACACATAAAACCAGGACCAGGCCCGCGACGGCAGGCAGAATGACGGCGTATTCTCGTGGCAGGAAATAGCTGTGCAGTACGTGAGTACTGTCGACAAATGGCTGCAAACACATCAGTCATGTTAAACAGGAGAACAGAATCTCATTGTCATTGTTCTGGTCACGCTAAGAGCTGGTGGGACAAACTGAGCAACATTTGCACAGTGCCCAAGCTGAAATGTCAGAGCAACCGCGCAGTGATTTGAGGAGATGAACAATACTTTCACTGTGTCGGGTATGAACAGGAAACCCATCAGATGGCAGCAGCACAATAATAATAATCCTTGCATTTGATATAACGCCTTATCACGTTTTCGAGACGTCTCAACGCCCTTCACGGGATACACTGTAAGGTGAACGGACTGTATATTTTGTGGGCGATATGCGGAAGCCAATTGCGCACAGCAGATGTAACTCCTAAATAAGGGCATTGACCAGAACAGAGAAAGATTACAAAATATTAAAGCAGAATAAATCAGCACTTACCAACACAATAACCCAGAGAGTGTAGTACGTGAAGATTAACAGACTGAACCCCACTAGGCCCATCCCAACCAGTTGGTCTACTCCCATCTCCTGAAAGACAAAAAAAACAAGGTTTCAGTAAACAGCATTAAAATATCTCCGCCTCTACTGTGCATTACATTTAACAATAATAAATAATAATAATCCTTGGATTGTTCTCGCGCCTTATCAGGTCACTGAGGAGTCAGTGGTCAGAGCACTCGCCTCTGGGTTAAATTCCAGGGCGGAGCGAAACGATGGGCAAATTTCTGTACCTCAGGAGCCTCTGTTTACTGAGCGGCATAGAGGAACCCGGCTGCTTAGCCGATTGGCGGATGGCTTTTCCGGGGGGGGGGGGGGGGGGTAACAATTCCTTCAAAAAAGCATCGCTGTCCGCGGGCCGTCGCTGTGCGCAGTTGGCCGCCCGCGTTTCGCCCACGAGATATACAGTCCATTCACTTTACAGCGGTTTCCGGCGCCTGGGGACGTCCTCCCGCCCCGAGAGGCTATTTTGGTCGTTGTCGTCGTCGTCGTCGTTCTTATCCCGTGAAGCGCTTTCGAGCCTCGACGACGCGATCGGGCGCTGCGCCTAACGCCAGGACGGGGACGGCGACGACGACGATGATGAGATAATTATTATAATTGTTACGATGATTGTTTAAGCGCCAGATTTCCCGGCAGCAAAGTCGTTTATTTCCCCCCAAAACCCCTTCCACAGACCACACACACAGGGAGATGGGGGGTCAGAAGCTGCTCTGAGGGTCTCTGGTCCGGCTGTCAGGCTCCTCCCCCCCCACACCCCCTCCCCTCCCCCCCCACACCCCCTCCCTCCCCCCCACACCCCTCCCCTCCCCCCCACACCCCTCCCCGCCCCGCCCTGGGGTATAACCTGTATAAGGCCCACAGGCCCCGGGGCGCGGCTCAAGCCCCAAACTCCCCCCCCACTCCCCCCCCAACTCACCATCTCCCTCTCTTCCCCGCCTCACGCCGACCGTCAACAACTTCCGGGGTCACGGCTTCCGGTCCCTGCTGGCCAATCCGCGTCCAGTGGAGGAGGCGGAAGTGGGGGGGGGAGGGAGGAGCGGGGCAGGGGCGGCGTGACGTTGCGCTCGGCGTCCTGTCAATCACGCACTGGCTCCGCGGTGACGTGGAGGCCGCCGCCTCCGCTTGCTGATTGGTCGCGAGTCAGGAGGCGGGACGGCGGCGGCGGCGGCCCGTGGTTGGTCCGCTCCGCCTGTCAATTCGGTGCCCCGCCCACTCTGCCAGGCAGCCAGACTGCGCATGCGTCACCAATGATTTTTTTTGCACACACACAGGACCTAAACACCACAAAAATAATATTATTTAAACAGTAATTTTAAGAGGTTTTTTTTGGGTGTGTGTGTGTGTTGGGTGTGTGTGTTGGGGGTGTGTGTTGGGGGGTGTGTTGGGGGGTGTGTGTGTTGAGGGTGTGTGTGTGTTGGGGGTGTGTGTGTTGGGGGGTGTGTTGGGGGGTGTGTGTGTTGAGGGTGTGTGTGTGTGTTGAGGGTGTGTGTGTTGGGGGTGTGTGTTGAGGGTGTGTGTGTTGAGGGTGTGTGTGTTGAGGGTGTGTGTGTGTTGGGGGTGTGTGTTGGGGGTGTTTGGGGTGTGTGTGTGTTGAGGGTGCGTGTGTTGAGGGGGGGTGTTGAGAGGGTGTGTTGAGGGTGCGTGTGTTGGGTGGGTGTTGGGGGTGTGTGTGTTGAGGGTGTGTGTGTGTTGGGGGTGTGTGTTGGGGGGTGTTTGGGGTGTGTGTGTGTTGAGGGTGTGTGTGTGTTGGGGGGGTGTGTTGGGGGGTGTTTGGGGTGTGTGTTGAGGGTGTGTGTGTGTTGGGGGGGTGTTGAGAGGGTGTGTTGAGGGTGCGTGTTGAAGGTGCGTGTTGAGGGTGCGTGTGTTGGGTGGGTGTTGGGGGTGCGTGTGTTGAGGGTGCGTGTGTTGAGGGTGCGTGTGTTGAGGGTGCGTGTGTTGAGGGGGGTGTTGAGAGGGTGTGTTGAGGGTGTGTGTGTTGAGGGGGGTGTTGAGAGGGTGTGTTGAGGGTGCGTGTGTTGGGGGGGTGTTGGGGGGGTGTGTTGAGGGTGTGCGTGTTGAGGGGGTGCGTGTTGGGCGGTACGTGTTGGGGGTTGGAGAGAAAGAGCAGGTCAATGGGACTGATGGGGTTTCTCTTTCCGAGGACCCAGAGAGGAGTCCCTGAGAGGAGAAGGGATTACTTATCGATGGCGCAAAGGGTCTGACGAAGGGGTCGTGGACCCGAAACGTTGACTCTCTCCGTAGTCGCTGCCTGACCTGACCTGACCTGCTGAGGCCACTTCTGTTTCTTTGTGTGGCGAGGTTGGCAGGGGGGTGGGGGGGGGGGGATTATTATTATTATTTGTTTGGGTAAAAGTCCTATGGTTCCACCCTCCCGCCCCGTCAGATGTAAACGTTGCCCCCGCCTCGTTTTACAAACCAGATTTGACATTTTTGTTAACTTCGCCCGCTCACCTTTTGTTGACTTTTAGTCCCGTTTGCCCATTTGGACCGGGCACTGAACCACCACCACCACCACCACAACAACTTGGATTTACATAGCGCCCTCCACGCCGGACGGCATCTCAAATGTTGGGTCTCTCCTGGATCTGTTGAAGGGGGTGGGGAAGCAGGGGTGCTGTGCAGAGCAGTGAAGGGTGGGCGGGGTGGGGGGTGGGGGGTGCTAACCTCCCGCACTTACCAACTGTTGACTTCGCTACCGAACAGTCTGACCGGTAACTAACCGGCCCCCTTACTTGCAGCGGCGCAGCGATTGGCGGATCACCGAACACAACGGCAGCACCACGTTTTCTCACTCTGATGGGACTTCAGAAATTGATTCAATGTGAGAAATTCGGTGGAGAGATGAGGAGCGCTGGGACTGCGGCTCTGAGCTGCGTGCGCCTGTTGGCAATTTCGTGGGTTTCTCCCGCTTTCTCCCAGAAAACAGAGTGCGTAAAAGTGAACCCTTGCAAGTGCACAATGAAGGATGGGTCGGGGGTGATTAATCTGGCAGCGATGGGGGATTCTGACGGATTTCTGGAGCGGGACAAGCAGTTGCCCAGTTCAGCTGGAGATGCCGATGCTGAAATTTTGTATTCGTTCAGTCCTTGTCACCCTTTCAGTGAGCCTCCGGAGTACGCTCCTCAATGTTTGAACGTGGCTGTCTGTCTGATTTTGAGGTACCGGACCCCTCGAGGTGAGATCAAGCGCTTCTTGAACTTTGGGAGACACGAGGACAGTGAGTTCAGCTACAACAACGTCACCGATTCACTCAGTGTCACCTACCGCGGTAAGAAGATGTGTGGGTTTTTACGCTCAAGCGTTAGGGTCTCATTTTGAGCTTTCGCCTTCTCATAACCCGGGTCCGTTAAAGGTACAACGTCCACTGTTATTTATGCTAAATTGAAAACGAAACTGTGGACCAATCGGGCTACACACAGCTAATCTCGTTCGAGCCGCTGTTGCTTTGGGACGTCCTCCTGACGTGAAAAGCGCTATATCAAATGCAAGGATTATTATTATTATTATTAATTTGCTGTTTTGTTTTTTTCTCTCTCCGCGCAGCATCGCACAGCAGCATCTTACACACGGTGGTTCAGTACAACTGCACCTCAAAACGCTCGGTAGTGCTGTTTCGAGATCCAGAGCAGCCCAATGTTTTGCAGATAAATGTCAGCAGCCCCTGCGCCTGCCCCAACGGCTGCAAACCCGAGGACGTGGGGCCAGGAACGATCATATTAATCGTGTTCAGCATAAGCGTTGCCGCCTACTTCCTTTTCGGTGGGTTGACATTTTTGAAACCACAATTCTTGCATCTGGTAGAACATCTTATCGCAGCATTCCAGATCTCAAATACACCCGGTTGCCAGACTTTACAGTATATGCTGTGAAGCACTTTAGAGACATCCTCCTGGCATGAAAGATGCGTACATGAAAAGCAAGGATTATTTTAAGTATTTATTTATTAATACGCGTTAGTTTTGATAAAATGCAAGACTTTTAAGTAAATCTGGTCACATCTGCTGTAATCAATCACGTCTTGGCTGCTTTCTTTTGGAATATACTGAACAAGAACTGCTGGTAAAACTTAGCTCATTCTTACTGAGCGGGTGAATTGCTGAACGCGCTCCTGCAGCCTCCAACCTTCTCCTAACGCACACACGACGTCAAAGTGAGGAATCTTAAATCTCTCTGCTTCTTTTCGCAGGTTTGTGTGGACTCAATCCGATCAGAACTCCAAATGGCATCGAGCTTATTCCCAAGGAGAACACTTGGTGCAGTCTGTGTTATGCGTGCGTAGAGAGAAGGGGAAGAAACCGACCAGATTATGGGTCACCTTCGTAGAATTAGACAGCACAGGAGGAGGCCATTCGGCCCATCGTGTCTGTGCCGGCTTTTTGAAGAGCTCTCCAGATCAATCCCACGCCCCTGCTTGACCTTAACTTTGCTGTAAAATAGGATTTGGATATTTTTTTTGCTCGCTGCACTCTGGTGGATGAATTTTTAACAGCCAAATGTATATTATAATTGCTTTTTCACACGTTCCTGCCCGTTGAATCACAGGACCAGCAAGCTCTTGTTTGAGAACGCTGCGTTTGCTGAATTGACGGGTTGCGCTATCGAGACGACATTGAACACAAGGAGCTATTTATCTCCCAGTGCATTGTGCTGCAGTGTTCATCTGTGCAACTTTAACCACTCCTCCACGCTCGGAATGAATAAAACAGAGCACCCATTAAAAATGTGTGTGTAAATCTAGATACAATGCCAAATATAAAAATAACAATAATAAGGTCCACTCAATCCACGACTGTTTGTGTGACACTGCAATGGATGAGTGACATTACTGCAAGTTAATTGTTCGAAATGGCATTGCCTCGCAATTTCAGAAGTTCAGATGAACGTCTTTCAGCCCATTTGATCTCAAGTGGAAGACTAGGACACCAACCTAACATCCTCCCATTACAGCAGTGTGCTATTTGTTAAATGAATCCAGGGCTCTGGAGAAAATGGAGGGGGGTTGGGGAGAGAAAGAACAGCTTTTCCTTAAAGAAAGTCTTCTGTGCTAACACAAAATAACACCATTTCATTGTTAATACAGGTACCCATATCATTTATTTCCCAGAAAACAAGACAGTATTACATGATACTGCTCCTATACAGTTACATTTTAAAATATGAAACAAATAACCTTAATACAAATATTATCTTTTTACCAATTACAGTACATTGTGCATTCTAAATATATCTAAACGTTATACAGTATTTCAGCTGATAAACATTTCTATAAATTCCACTTCCTCTGGGCTTTTTTTTTAAGAAACCTGTACAACCAACAAACCTCCATAAGATCACAAAAATAAGTGTCTAAATATATCATTCGGAATACATTCTGTAACACCTTTGTTTTTAACAAAATCATAAAAATCTTTTGTCATCACTTAACTTCAGTTGAGAGTTAGGTCATCTCAAAAATGTTAAATCCATCTATCAACAAGCCTAGACTCCCATGCATAGCTTCAATTCCTTTCAGAAATATACAGATTTACTTAAGGCAAGAGGAGTGCCGAGTATCCACACGTCATTTGCTCAAATGCTTGTTGAAGGAGTTGTTTAGGGTCATTCATATCAATGTACTGGATGCTTAAGTAGGTGCTACCTGATTATGGACAGGTCTGCTGGTGTCTTCAGCATCCAAAGATTGGGTTCATATTGCTGGCATTTAAGAATGTGATAAAAGTTAAATTAAAAATAGGGATAAAAACACTCGAAATTCCAGAAGTGCGAGACTTCCATACTTGCTAAGAATAGTGGAGAAATCTCACAGAAGATTGGAAGTCAGACAGGAACAGCCATTTGCAAAAGAAGATATTATAACTATTGAGATAGTGCTAAAGGCCAATCAATAACCGTGTCTAACTAAATAGCTTTATTCATAATTAGCAACAATTCAGTGTTTGCGGAAACCTAAACCACTCCTTAAAGGAAGCAATAAGCCTCTGGAACAATATCAAGGGTTGCAAATCGCTGTGCAGCAGACTTAACTCTCCTTTAATGTTAATTTTGAATGTGATGTGTCCAGCACTGCGTCACAAATGGTAAAATTATTTGTTAACCAGTTATTGGGAGTTACAACCTACGGGCAGAATGGGTAAAGGTGGGTGACATCTGTAAAAAATAATAATCCTGAGGCAAAGCCTTAATGCCGTGAGATTAACCATCATAAAACATTTTTTTCCCAACCTTTTCCAAATGCAACATGTGCCAGTTTTCAGCAGGCACTCAGGTATGCACAAGATGGCCCCATTTTCATGCACTGCAGGTAAAATAGGTGCCTTATTTTATTGCGGTCAATAGCAGAATGAAAGACCACATAAATGCTATTTATCTACTGAAATAAACCTCCATGTAAAATAAATGCACTATAAAAATAGAAACAGCTTAACTTTACTGACATCTCTCCCACTACTCATTCTAGGATTCATCCAAATATTCAGGAATGGCTTTTGAAGTAAACCAGCTGATGAAATACCCTGAGGTGGTGATTTAACCAGCAAAACTCACAATATGTTGGTCATTTTTTGTGTGAATACCATGGAAAAGTAAAAAAAAAATGAAAGCACAGAATTTCATCGAATTCCAGTCGTCTTAACAGGGATAGACCAGAATTAGATTATACTCTATGCTATAGTGCTTCCAGAATTAGCACAGCATTTCTATTTGTTCCATAACCACAATTCTACTATTTTACAGAATTGTTCTCATCAGTGTGGATAAACGACACTCCATCATGCAAATGGTTTTTAAAGTCAGAGGTTACAATAGTCCCATATAAATTCTTACACACTAATGCCAAAAAAAAATCACCTTTTACAAAACAGAATCAGAAACACGATCTACAACAGAGTGTAACACGTTAACCGTACATTTTCTAGTGCAGTTGTACTGGGGATGGAGGATTTCCTGTCAGTGCCCATGATAAAGGGCTTTCTTATCCCCAGAGCAACAGTACTGAACATAACCAGCCCGCTGGTTAGAAGCATTGTGTAACATAGCAAAAAAACAGGAAACAACTTAAAAAAAACACTTCTACAACAGTGGTCAACATTTGACAGTTTAACAAGTAAAAGGAATCACTAACTACTTATTTTTAAATCAATGATCAATATTTGACTGACAGAAGAACCAATTAAATCTGAGTTGAAACAGCAGTACACCTGAGCTCTAAAAGTGGATGAATGACTAACACAGCACCTTAAATGCCTTTATTAAAAATAAGCCCACTTTTCATGTAACAATGCAGTATGAGACGGTTTGGGTTTCAATAGTGGTTGCTCTGGAAGTCAACCTGCATTGCAGTTCCAGGAAAACTGTTCCTCCACAACAATGTTGACAGGCAACTGAAATGCAGTGCTTCAAGGCTCCATCAAACATTGGTTGCTAGACCAGTTTCGCAATTAAGACATGGAGTGCTAGTGCTCCAACATGCTTTACCATTGAGTGGTTGTGCAGGAGGTTTCTACCAGCTGGCAACCCTCACCTGTGCCACAAGGAAAAACAAACAGCAAAAACAAAAGTGAAGTGGTTTGACAAGATGGAAAAACGAGTGAAGAAAAACAGCCCTCTCACTCAGAGGTCAGCTAAATACAGATATCGGATGAAGCTTGGCGGTCAGCCACTTTCTCATCCAGGAAACAAGAGTATAAGTCATAGTGATGTAACATAAAGGAGGGAGGGAAAAAAAGGAGGGCAAGAAAAGAATGGATGAAAAAACACTGCTGTTCCAAATCTCAGAAACCAACACTTTTTTTTTTGCTTTGGTTCAAATCAAATTGGTTCTTTTGGTGGTAATCTCATCACATCACAGTTCAACAGCAAGTCATAGTACAGAAAGACCTCAGTATTAGTGGTCATTTTAGCTTGTGATTCCACAGTTTAAAGGTTGAAAGTACTGTACAAAATGCAGCTTTCTTGGAAATACAGCAACAACCTGCAATAAAGACTGTGATACACCTTTAAATGTTAGCAAGTAAAAATTAAAAAATATCTACAAAGGGATTTTGTTAGGAAACAGCTTGAAGGAGAAAATAAACATGATACCAAATCACTAGACTCTAAACCTTGATTAACTCAGCCTCTTGGTATCCAATAATCATGTACGTGTCAAGTGGCAAGAACACTAAGGTTGTCAATTATAACTCCCGATCTGCTGGTTCTGTAGCGGGAAATGACGAAAAACACCTGCATTGTGACAACTCTTAAAACATATGTTGAGAACACATAATGTGTCAGTGGACTGAAATATAGAGTACCCAAAATACACTTAACCGTAATCATACTGACAACCAGCTGGAAACCAATCAACACAGATTGAGGCTGTTTGCCAACAACTAATAAACGTCATTGAATATATGGCTTAGTCTATGGCCTTGATCAAACTGGTCAGATTCGTCCTAACGTTTACAAAGTAGAATCAAATGCATAAAAGCTACAAAAATCAAAATTACAATAGCTAGATGAACATTTAAATGTCTAAGAAAATGTTCTTTGTCTCTGATTAAATCGACTGGAAACGTTTCTTTTTTTTTCACACAGTTTTGTCATTTGGGCACTGTTCCACTTTGTGGATATTTAATGATAGAAAAAAATACTGTATATCAAATCTAGACCTTTTTCTTAATATATTGTATATTCATCTGGAGTGTAATTGCATAACAACTTTCTGTGTTCAGATTAAATGCCCGTATCATTCAATTTCCCAGCTATACACGACATAACAATTCTATTACTTCAAAAGAAGGCACAGAACGTATTACCATCTTGTTTCATAGTTCACACGTTACCTTATTCTGACTGTGTTTGACCTGTGTTGCATATTGTACATGTATGTACATGCTTTTTTTTATCTGTAGCTTTACTTGGTCCTTGATTAAACCGCATAAGAAGTAACTGGAAACGTGTAAAATTGAGGATCAGGTCATTCACTTAAACCGTACAACCCTGAGTTCTGCTCAAAACAATTCACATTCAAGTTCAAGGGCTGTGTATTACTTTGATAGTGTGCCTTGGGTCAACTGGGTTTAGCAGTTCCGCACTACAACCACCTCATGTCCTGCTTCATCATGCTTGAATTACACGAACCGGGCTCGTAAAGTGACAATAATGGCAGCAACCATATCCTGATCGAGGGTAGATACACGCTGGGGGAGGGAGGGAGGAAGGAAGAGACAGAAGTGGCTGGTTTGTGCACGCACGTAAAGAAAATTTTGCAAAAACTGCATCTTATTCAAAATGGGTACAAACAAGTGGAGGAAAGATATGATTTACTAAACAAGCTGACACATTACTGGCCAAAACAGGCAGCTTATTTTCAACTCCACTAGTCTGTATTTTGATCTGAACAAAATATATCTATGGCAGCATTAGTTATTTCCAAACAATGAATACACCCAATTATATGTTGTCGGATCGAATGACGTTTCATCTTCTATTTCATTTACTTTGAGGTCAAGTGCTGTGGCTGAATAAACAGCATAAAAAATTCCAGAAAGGAATCATTTTTCTGGAGTTTAGGGTGCTCGAAATAGGCGCATGTTAGTTATCTATAATCTTTTTTTGCGCAATTTTATGACGGAAGCTTATTCCAGCAGGTAAAGTGTTAATTTTGACACTACACTCATAGAACGCAAGTAACCTAGAGCTTGCCTCCCACTCATTGTAATTATTGAAATTTGTGAAAATCAGGAGATGGGATTCATCACCCTTGCGTTTTAAGTCATAAGAATATACCACAGATATAGATAGTGTACAAGATAACTTTCACAGTACGTCAAACAGGCCACAAGGTCCACAGGTGGCATGCAATTACTCAAGACGTCACTGGTCTTGTAAGAAATGTACAAGTCTCCAAAGTGCATAGCTAACCAATGCGAGGACATTTAGAACAAAGAGAAAGCAAATGACGTTACAAGAGCAACCCATCTTACAAGCTTGAATGATTCTAGTTATTTTTGTTCCATGAGAAGCGACAAACTAACTCTGAGGCGGAAACCTTCAATAAATATCTGGTGCATTCAGAATATGTCAGCATCAGACCACTGCTTTTCTTTGTGGAGCACTGTATGACCGGAGTGCTCAAATCTCACCACTATATGCCTCGATTTGACCAGAATCCAATGTAGTAGCAGTCCAGTATTAAAAGTACTGCATTCACTCAAGCTAAAGTTAAATCCCATGAAACTGCTTCAGCTTATTTCTCAAATCAGTAAGCCAGTACTTTCCACCTCAGAAGTAATAATAGGCACTCTTCCATCATGCAATGGCTTTTGAAAAACATTTTTAACCTTGTTGCTGAATGAATAATGAAGGCTTAACCGTATACCTGTACATCATAGAGAGTATGCAAAACGTGTACTTTACCAATGGACTTTGGAGGGGAATCCTAATTTCAGAATCACCAACTTCATTCTGAATATAAATCAACTCAAATTAAATATTTTCATTTAAGACTTCGGTACACTTTCTCCTGTACTGAGAATACATTAACACACTTTCTGATATTGAATCTCTTTTGGTAAAGGTGCAGAGTAAAAGGCACTCTATGTAGGTGTCATATCACAGAGCAACAAGATTCTCTGCAGATTTTCACACATTAATGCTAGATTTCAGCTGAGCTGTCTAGTTATTTCCTGCATCACTCTTGTGCACATCCTAGGTAGTAACAATTTAACAGAAGCATTAGCAGAGGTTTCTATCTACTATTCTATCTAGTGAATGGTGTTGGTAAAAGTGGGAAAAGATGCACAGAAATCTTTGAAAACAATTCAGCCAGGGGGAAATACCGCTATACTCATAATTAATATTTTGTAAACAATCTTTAGACTTAAGAGCTTCTAAAAGATTCTGCATCGGTAGCAGTTGTGAGTAAAATATCTAGAGTTTATATACTAAAGGGTTGTCATTCTTGGGAGCAGTGATTGAGGGAAGCCAACTATGATATTGATGTACGCTGTGAGCCAAGCTGATGAACAGGTTTAGCTGCATTTTTCTCACTAGATATTGAATCTCTAGCAAATCTCATTAGGCTTTGTTATCAATTTAACTTCAACTGCAGGACAACATTTTTATTTTGCTCCGGAATGAAAACTAAGGCCAATCCTTATGGTAAATGTTCAAACAGTACAGGTCAAAAATGATTTTATCTTTTTATGAAGCATTAACAAATGTTGATTCTTATAAAATGAACCTGACAAAGTTTGCTCCCTGCCTCAAGAATTTGTAAAGAAATAAATTGACTGAACTTACGTAGCAGAAATAGTATCAAGCATTTTATGTGCATGAAGTTTAGTTGCAAAGTCCCTGACGTAGGTTTTGAGTGCTCATGAATATGGTCATTGCTGGGAAAAATCCTATTATTTAATTGCAGGAGAATCCAACACTCAATGGATACTGAAACACTCAGCACAACTGCATCATAGTACTCTGCGTATCCTTTGGTGGCATCATTTTTACTGGAATTGGAATAATCAGTTTTGATTGAGACTAATTCCGTTTATCCTGACAGTGGATGTATACCCAGAAATGACCAATCCACTACTTTTTTTTTAAAAAGATAAGTACTAGTTTGAAGCTGCTGTGCTCCTTTGCTGGTGACCAAATCATGATCAATTTTTGTTGTGCAAAATAAACCCAATGATTACTGTGCACACAGGCAAATTTAGAAATCAGCACAACATAATAAAATCCTTTTAAATTTCTGAGTTGCAGAAGTCAATGGGCAATTAATGTATGTTTCAGGTTTCAGTCCTGGTCTTCTACAAAAGCCGCAGGAAAGGAGCGAGTGCAGCATTGGTAAAGGCTCTCGTTTAACATGAAGTAATTATGCCACAAAAATCACAAAGAAAAATGGTCACCTTTTTAAACTGGCTCATCTTGGATTGGTTGTGGCATTTAAAGATAAATATTTCAAAGGCAATTCTGAAAGAAATTGAAACATTACAGAAACAATTTAACTAAAAATTTCAACAGTAATATTAGTTTCGATTAGAACATTTGGTGACAAAAAAGGACTCAGTCCTTTTTTTTAAGCTGTCATCCCACCCAAATCCCAATGCAGTCCGGAATCAACAGCTGCAGGTTCTTGGGGTTGTCAGTTAGTCACAGACACCATCTTCCTTTCGTCCAGCTTTGCAAGTCGGTGACGTGATCTGGTGGTAAAAGTAGGTGCGTTGTAGTAGACAAGGAGCTTGAATGGAAAGAGGCTAGCAAGTGCAGAGTGGCTCACAAGCTCGACTGTAGTACTCAACGGCTCTCGATAACAACAGGTTCAAAGACACCAGCAGATACCCTGGAAGAGAGGAAGAAATAGCATTTAAAACAGAATACTGACACCTCTTTGATAACGAACAACTCAAATCAATTGTTAAACATCACAGACTCCCAGGGTAGAATCTAAATAAGGTGTTGCTGTTAATTTTAAAATGCAATTAATGACATTAAATTTTGGCACTTTTGGCTGGTGCAACAGAAATTGAGTCAGCATATTGTTCAAGTTTAGAGATTACTTCTGAGCTAGGAAAACAAGCTTTTTCCCCCTCCCAAACACCGAGTTGTTCTACGTAATAAGGTACCAAAGTATACAAAAGCAAGTTATTGCCATTACCTCTTGTTAACCATTGCTGGTTGGATCTGATGATATAGAATATAAAATGAATTTTGCTGGCCCCCATAATCTAGTAAAAGTCTCCCATAAAGCTGCCCCTAAAAATCTGAATAGTATTTCACCAGTTCAAATACAGATGCAACTCTTTCTTGTAGTACTGTTAAGGTTGGCTTCCGCCTGCAACTTTGCAAGCAAGTCAGGAGGTGGCGTTCACAACACATACTACTAACAAGATTTCAGCTCCGGAATAGTCAGCAAAATAAGCCATTATAATGCATTACAAAGCTCTGTGTTTAGATGCTTAAAACCTCTTACCCTAAAATGAACTTGAAGAATAAGCCGGGTGTCTTAAACACCAGATGATACAATGTCTAGAACTATTTTCAGATTGGGCTCTCAGCAGTCACTGGGATAAATAAGCAATTTTAAGAAACCTACCTGTTTCCCAGCTGGATACCACTCAGTGCTGTCGTTCCATCTCTGCTCACAAACAGCCTCAAATTACTGTCTGCAACAGAATAAGTAACATTAATCTAAATGCAGTTCCTGGTTTACTTCTCAACAGGGAGAATGAGATAAATCTCAGACCACTTCCTGGCCAATGCTATGGTTCTGCAAGTAACTTGTAAATTATAGCTGCCGGTTTGATATCTTGTGAGCATAATTTCCTGCTATTTATGTTATTTGTTCAAGGCTTTAGACTCGTGCCTCAAATACTTGAAGCCAAGAGGACACATGAAGGCCATGCCATGAAGGCCAAGGCACATGATTTGGTCTCAAACTCACCTGTTGGATCAGTGAGGGATAATTAATTATAGTAATAATCCTTACATTTGATATAGTACCTCATCATTTCAGGAAGACGCCTCAAACTTCACATTTTCCATAAAGTGTAGTGATGTGTGTTTTGTAGGCAATGTGGCAGCCAATTTGCAGACAGCCAATTACATATATATATCTTGCCTTTTTAAAAAATTTGGATTAAATAATTTAGAAATACGAAGATTCCTTAAATTGCACACGAAAGAGATTATTTTAGTGCATTGCATTAGTACAGAATTTTAATCTGAATTCCCTTAATGGAATAGGTTAGAAAACAGCCAAGACTTTTGATGCCCTGATTCTTTTCGAAAATTACGTTTCGTTAGGTTTGTTTCAGTGATAGCCATCAGCCTGCTCCCGATTCTCGGTCGAGGATTGGATGGACGTGAATTGGGGGTGTGGGAAGGAAAGAGAAAATATATGGCAAGCTTACCTTCAGCATTACTGACATCTGTGAAATCCTGACTCTGCACAATTTTTTCGACAATATCATCTGCATCGATTCTGGTGTCGTCAACCCAAGTGGGCTGACTCTCCACAGTCTCCTTCTTCCGCCTGAGGGAGGGAGAATCCATTAGCACTCTCAGCACTACACATTTCAGAATTAATAAAGGACACATGAATGATACAATGACTTCACAATGCTGATGTATTTATAGAAAAAGTCTGGCCCCTCTCCCCCTCCACTTCACTCTCTCCTCAAATTCCTCCACATTGCACCTTTCCCACATGGCTTTCAAAACCCGTCTAAAAACCTCCTACCTCCATCCCTATTTGGGCTCGCACTCAGGCTCTTAAAACACTGAGAAATGTTCCTACACGAAAGGCACTATAAGTGCATGTAGTTGCCGTTGCACCTCCTCCACCCCCTCCCTTTTTTTCCCCAAACACTGCATTTCCTGTATGTGGAGGCTCAGGCAGAAACATTGGCAGGCTATTTGACTGTGTAAGCATTGGTGCCAAGCTTGATATTATTCTCCCTCAAAATACACTTTCCATCGGGGAGTCAAAGGAGGGAGTAATGGCCCTTGAAACGCTTTCGCTCGCCAGACTGGGATCAGTTAACTGAACAAGCCAGCAAATAACTTGGGTTCCTCCTGGCAGGCATAATAATAATAATAATAATTCTTATTATGGTTCAATTTCATACAGAATGGTGCATTTACCTACAACAAATGGCAGTCAGAGCTTCCAGGGTTAATGTTCAGTCAACTCAATTGGATATTACAGTTCTTAAGCAAAACTTACTATTCTATGTATGACATTATTTGTTTCATAGAGAAGAAAATTGCTGAATTCACGGCTCTAAAGACAATTCATAACTCCAACACTAGTAATGTGCCGTTGTACCACTCCAATTCATTTTGTAAATGTACATTCTTTGTAAATGTATTTCTGATTTTTTTTTCTTTGCTTAAACTGACAAAGTTTTGAAATGTCAATTGGCCATGCTCCTGGTAGAGGTGCGGTGAGTTGCTTCCAAGTCAACACACCTGGCAATGGAAATTTGGAATTGAGGTGATGCTCTGTGACAGTCTTGGCAATCTGAATCCAACTCAGACAAGACTGCAGTACTTCAGGACACTTGACGATCGATAGGCCAGACAGCTTGGCACGGCAGAATTTGGAGGAAAGGAGCAGTCACTAGGGATTCTTCCTACTTGGTTCCTGATGAACCTGCAAACGCCAACAATACCGCATGCACACTCTGGTGTCCCCCAAGCCTAGGCTCTTGACCCAAATTCTCTGCAAATAAGTAACCAGGGCCCTTCCCTCCTTTTTCTAAAGTCATACACACACATTTTTTTTGAGGTGTTTGTTATTCATCTTATGTGTGGGGAACATTGTTGCTGTAGTTTAGCTGTCACAGTGTCACTTTACTTAAAAGGACATCACTGTGTGAACTATTAGACATTTCAACACAGTTAAAGATTGTACCAAATGCAATAATTACTATTATAGATCAATGAGTGATTTCACCCCCATTGTAATACTTAGTTTGTCTACCCCTTCACAATATTCTATTCTTGAAAAGTGTTCCTATGTTGTAAGGCGTTAAGGTGCGAGAGAGGCATATCACTAAATTGCATATTCAGAAATGAAGAGTGCAGTCAGAAAGCTCAGTAATTTGGAGATTTAAAACCAAAAACAATAAGTTCCCCACAATTAAGTGAACAGGGTGATAGGATATGCCATGTAATACATCACTGTTACCATAATAGCACCATGCAATACGGTTAAGACGTCTAGAAGACGTGAAAAGCACTATATCAAATGCAAGGATTATTATTATTATTACCATGGAACATGCCATGTAAAGTGTCATGGCAACTATAAAGTACTGAGGAATGCCAGATACCCATTGAACACTGTGTAATGCTTCACTGTTATCATTGAGCACCATGTCATGTCACCGTTACCATTGAGCACTGTGTAACGGGGCACCATAAAGTCACTGTAATCACAGAGCCCGCCCAATGTAATATTTTACTGTCATCATAAAATGTGACTAACCATAGAGCACGATGAAATATCGCTAGTGTTTTATGACAGTAATCCGGTGTTAGAACAGACCACAAAATTCACAATGTAAATTATTAAAACACTGCACTTTTTAAATATAAGAAAAGTGGTCGGTTAAAGATATTTTGTGATGTTCTGGAGTGAACATAGTACATCTCAGATACTAAACATTTTTAATTCTATCAGAAAACACACACACGCACACACAGACAGTTATGTACTTGATCTACAACAGTATCATTAAAAACAATTAACACCCTTCAAATCAAATTGCACACGTAATATTCTGTGGTCTCACCTTCTATGGGTCCTGCTATCAGGATGTGCACTATCCAGAGATAGGGAACTACCTCTTTTAAACAGAACAGCTGTGTACCTGGATGGCCTGTCAGGTGGCAGTGTGGGCCTCGGAGGCCGAGGTGGTTTTTCCAGTTTGTGTTCCTTCTCGCCTTCTGTGCTCTCAACAGTTATACTGAGCCCTCCTGAGGCACTGCTACTACTCGACGTATTACGCCGGTGGGTTAGGTCTGACAGGCTTGAGGATCGGGAGTGTTCAGTGCTGTAACCTGAATTTTAAAATCAATGATGAATTTCAGCGAAAGGATCATCGAATGGTCGCAAGATTTCACTACATGATCAGAGAAGGGAGTTTCATCCAACAATTCACCCGATGAATAAATCCCCTATGGTTTTTTGTGGGACTTTGCTATGCCCAAATGGCTGTTACATTTGCCGACAAATGCACAGTTACTAGTGTTTGTAACCATTCTTGGGAAACAATTTTGAGATTTCAATATTCAGTGCTAGTATCTCATGCGAGGGATTGATCGATTTATTTATTTAACCAGCTCACGCAAAATACTTACCGGACACTTTCGAATGCTGACTGGCATAGCTGGAATTCCGAGAGTGGCCAATTTGAAACACTTCATCTGGGCTGGACGGGGTCTGCTCAGCTTCCTCAGTCAGACCTAGGTGAAAGGGGTTAAGGTTATTGCGAAATAGTTTTAAATTCCTTTTTACACTGTGGAGCAGGAAAAAAACACGAACACCCATGTAACAAGATGAATACGAATTTTGGACAGCAGAACACAAATTACATAACAATGACAACATAATTACATTTGTGTAGCTCCTTTCACTTTGGGAGAATGTCCCAAGGCCTGAAGGGTGCTATATTACTGCAAGTTGTTGTTGTGATATCACAAGTATGACTTGCTCCTATATCAAAACACTGACTTAATGAATGGCAATTGAGAGGCCAAATACTGTGCTTAGCTGTACCCTGGAATCTGAAGGTCTGATCATCCTTCCATGATAAATATATCCAGTACGATACATGGGACATTTAATGGAGTTCTTATGTTAAGTCATGAAATGAAAACTCTAAAAGCTTACAACAATTTCCAAAAATGTAAGATTTCTGTTTTCCTATTTGAAATCGCTTAAATTCATCTACAATTGGCTCACTGCCATCATTTGAGGAAGAGAGTCCACTATTTTAGTCAAATTGATGGTCCTGCTGACAGGATAATGGAAGACAGTTAGGAATGCTGGAGATATGCCACAAAAATAACTGGCATGCAATGCAGTTCACAGACTGAACAAACCCCGAGATGCGAGTGTGATTTACGGGGTCTAGGAGTAGAATGCAAAAAGTGAGATCAGCTCAATCAACATCAAATCAACAGAGAGGCCTGCTGGGGTACGAAAGATGGATTGTAAAACAGTTGGAAATAAAAACTTCACTTGCATAGCACCCAGGGCTTGCAAGGCACGCTTTAGACTTGTACAGTTTTATATGTTTGCCCACAGAATGCACAATCAATTCATTTTATAGTATGTCATGTGAAATGCTTTGTGACATCTCAACAATATGATAGATGCTATATCAAATGCAAGTGTTATTATTTTTGTAGGACTTTGCTGCAAGGCTTCAGATTTAAAAAAGAGTGTACTGTATATTCAAAACACTACTACTAGGAATTCAACACTTAGAACTGAATACAACCTAAAAGTCAGAGGAATCCTGCTTTCAGTATTGCACCCAGGACTGATGTTTCTCCTGTACTGGGCAGAGCTGTATTATACATTATGGGACAGAGTTATAGTGGCTCTATTAGCTTTAACAATAATGGGAGCTTTGGACCAGGCTCGCTTGCCATAGAACAGTGTAGGTTAGGGAAGGAAGAAATTGTGATATTCACTATTCTAGGTAACACTCAGGCCCGGGTTCACAGACAACCACTGGTAGGGAGGGAGTCACTGGTTGGGGTAGCACTATACCACTATCCATATTCAGCGTGAGGGGTAGGGCAAGGGGAGAGAAGGAAAAATAACGTTGTTGTGGTCAAACGTTGTTTACTAACTTGCTCTCCTTGGGAGTAGCAAGTGTAGGCACCCATGACCTGTCTGCAAAGAAAAGCAGATGGCTGGGGAAATTCCTTAAGATTATGCTATTTGAATTATATATTTACCTGAGCTGAGTGCGGGAGGCCGAGGTTTTGGCTGTCTCACTGAATTCAAGCCACCAGGAGCGACATTGTTGTCTGTGGTGCCATCTCCCTTACAGTCCAGCTGCAAGGAGCTATCTTGGCCTGGGAATGAGATAGACTTGGCAGTAGAAGGAGGCCTGCAAAAAACAATACATTTTAAAAAAAAGTGACATTTTAAAACTCTGGAAGTTTTATTTGTAGTCTATGAATTTTTAATTAAGTCATTAATTGGCCTCACACAAAGTTGATGATCAGCACAAATCAGATTGCAACATTTCATGCAAACTACTCCTGGGGAGATGGTCTATCAAGGTAACTTGCACCCTTTAGGGTAGTTTGTACAATTTGTACAGCTGTTACTTGAGCCTAAATGTCATTTGTATTCCGAGAGGTTGGATAGGTTCTAGATCTTTGTTCACTTGATGCCACACGTGCACTTTTCTACAACAAAGATAGCAATCAAGAGCAGGAACCTCAATTGCCCAATCTGGTGTCCTGACCAACAATCCGTACAAGATAAAATTGGTCATTCTCTCCATTTGGTTTGAGCTCCATGAGAATATCGGTAGCCTTTTTCCCCCCCATTCAACAGTCTAGACAGTGAAAGCTAGCAAGCAATTCAACTCTTAGGCCATTCCAGCAGGGTCCAATCCAACCATCAATTGATATACACTTTCCAGTAAGGGGCCTAGCATTCAGAATAGCAAACAATTAACCTAGGTTGGCTTCTGTACTAGGCAGATGTGAGATTCCAGAGGGAAGAATCAAATCAAAGGAATCTGTTGTAAGTCACTCGTGCAATTGGGTCCTTTCTTGTTTAAATTCTTGTTCCAGTTGCAGATAATTAACAGCAACTGAGAGTGGGGCATAAATTAGTCTCTTCACTGTTGTACTACCCTACCTATTTCTCGAAGAATAGTGAGACATAGGTGGGGCAGGATGGTGAAGACAGACAGACCTCAGTTGCCTCGTCGGAAGGATGGCACATCTGCTAAAAAATACAGTGCTCCCCCAGCAATGTACTAGAGTGTCAGTCCAGACTGACCTCAAAGCCCCAGAACAGAGTTTGAATGCACAACTCTCTAACCCAGAGGCAAGAATGCTATAAACTAAGCCAGACTAACAAGCCAGGACACGAGGAGAAACTCCTTTCTCTTTTTGAATAGTCACTGGTTTCTATTGTAGTCTTAAGTCACTGGTTTCAAGAGGAAGGCATAGTTTGATGCATTTTCCCTCCATATTCCACTTGTAAATCCCTAAAATTATCTGAGATAACCAGACTCAGATTAGGAACTCGTCATAAAGGCAACTGCTGGGAAGAATGAAGCAAGTCAGTGCATCACTGGGAATCTTCCCCTTTCAATTCAACATTTCTATGTTACAACATTCTTATCAACTCTGAACTTGAAAAGCCAGAACTAGCACACAATAGCTTTTTTTGCTGCAGTATGACAAGTATGACAACATCACAAGTTTTACAAGAATGGGTGTAATGTGAACTTTTGCAAAGACTGCATTGCTGAATGATGAATGACAATTATCAAGATATTCCTTATATGAACATAATACCTTAAGAAAATCTGAAATGCCACATACGCCATTACAAACCTTTATAAAATGAAACAAGCAGTGTAAAAGAGGTTTATAGCCACAGAAAGATTAGGCTTCCCAAATGAGCAGCTTTTGTTGTTCAGTACAAGATTATGGTCCAATTAGCTCTAAATCTGAAGAATAATGTAGGTTGTTTTGTCTGTCACAGATGACACAAAAAACAGACTTAATTTTAAATAGAATCTATCCCGAAATACATTACATGAGAGCTGCAAAGTAGAGTTGCAAAGGGAATTGCAGGACAGATGGTAGGAAGTTTGTATTTACCTAAAGGTTAATTAATTACGGGAAAGGTGGTTGAGGCCAGGATACCAGACTCGTTTTTTTAAAAAAAAACAGCTTGATGCAAGGATGGATAGATGGTAGGTCTGGTTTTTTGGAACTATTAGATAAATTGTGCTGAAGGACCTTCTTCAACCAAACCAATCTTGTGTGATGAGACCATACTGTTTTGAGATGGTGAGCGATGAGTCAACTAACAAGTGGCCAACTATAAATGTAATCTGCCGGTTATTGCACATTAAAAGGTGAAAGCTTTTTTTAAAAAAAGCTCAGCATTCTCTGAAACAGTAACTAAAAAAGGAATGAATTTGCTTCTAGCTCTCCTACTCAAAACAGTAACTCCAGCCTTCTCAAACTCACCACACATACAGACTTCACTTTCAGTCACATTTATTTTAGAAGTTACACTTCAGGTTGAAATGTATCCAGAGCTTGGGACGTCCTCCCGACATGAAAGGTGCTACTCAAATGTCATTTTGCATTGTATTCAGCAGATTTCAAAACAGTTTTTTATATCTATAATGTTCTTTAAATTTTTAATGTTCAATACTAGTAAGTAGAATGAAAGGACCAGAGTGCTAAACCAATTCCCGATCTCATTAGAACTGCACTAATCGACTGACTCAATTAAAGAATACAAATTGTCATTTCCAGAAGGTTAAATTTCCTAATTCTTGCTGATGAAATTAAACCATGTGAGCATGGTGCTATTCACAGCTTACGCAGCTGTGCTGATCCTGTTCTGTACCATTCCACTGTTATCATTACGTTGGGGAAGAAAAAGATTAAGTACATTTTTAGCCTCTTCCGTCATTAATGGAGAATCAGTGTGCACACCTTCATCTGAAGAGTGTCACTCAAACCAGTTTGGGTTCCTTAGGCTGCGTCAACGGGCTATTGTTCCATATATAGAGCCCCTGTTCAAGTAGAAACTCCCAACAGTTGAAACAGACAAATTGAATGTTTATTAAAACTCAGCTTTGCCCAACATAATGGCAACAATGGAGGCCTGCCCTTCCACTCTCTGGGAATAGCGCTTCCTCCCATACACAGGCTACCTGTGATTTACCATATAGAAAAAGCTTGTCTTGATATTTCAGAATAGGCAGGATCTTGCATTTCCTAATGTTTTTAAAAATAATCCAGTCTTACTTAATAAATATTCCTATTTCAATGCAATGCTGGCTATATCTTAAAAGGCGAGTTAACTTGAAGGAGTTATTGCGCAAGGAAATAGAATTAACACAATTCTGAAGACGCAATCATTAAAATATCCTGACCTAGTTGCTCTGACTAGAGGAGTTTAGAAAATTCTGATGAACAAAAGGAAGCTAAAATTCTATGAAATACATTCTTAAAGTAGTACTTAAAGCGCTCCGGGACATTACCCCTTGTGAAGGTCGTTACATAAATGTAAATTATTGTTGTTATTGTACTGATGGCAAGAATCGCTTCAAAAGTAAGCTTTGTCATTGGATATTATGGCACTACATAATCTATTGACGACATTGGAATTGATGTGAAGCTCCACTGAATTTACCAGATATTTTGGGAAGCAGCTAATTCATAGGGGAAATTCATGAGGTGGAAAAGGTTGAAACCAATTAGCAGGATTCTTCTTTTGCACAACATGCTGTAAGATATATAATTTCTGAAGCTGTGCATCCCAAAAGAATAATGAGATCCACACTCCTGATCTACTGCTGACATACAAAGCTGTAGCCTTGAGGAACCAAACTGTGCTTCAAGGCATGCCAATTCGAACTTCAGAGAGCCACAATCCAATACTCTTAAGTGTAAAACTACATTCAACAGAAGATAACAGGTCAGACACCAAGATCGGTATGAATTAGGCCTCTCAACTCTAGTTTAGATTTTATAGATTTTATCAAGTTCCCTCTTTCCATGCTCCGCTTGCTTGCTGCCCTATCTAATACTGGTGACAAGAGTCAGGAATATAAGCCAAACTGATAAAAAAAAGTCTGCTACAGCATGCTGCAGGATAGAGTCCTCAAAATATAGTCCCAGATTTTTGAACCACCCACAACTAATAAAAAGTGTCCTTTGATTTTATTCAAAACTATTTATAAGATCACAAAATTAGTAATGTTACATCTTCATCACGTGTTACATAAGATTAAATTTTGATCAAAATATTAAAGCCAAACAATTCTGCATAAAAACATTTCCACAACATTTATACCCAATACATTAAGATATTGCAAGTTCACAAAAATCCAATTACTGTTCCACATAACAATCCCTTTCGCATCAAACTAACGATTCTTCCCAAATCCTCTTAAAAAAACAAAATCTTAACCGTCTCTGCTCTGGCACAAACAGCCCCAACGTTTCAAACCTTTGATAACTAACCCCCCCCAGTCCCTGTCACTGTTTGTTGAAGAGATTCTCACAGGTAGAGAGCAGGTGAACCGTAACTCCTCTCAATCTTTCTCCATAAAACACAGAATTGGACAAACGGAGCTAAACTTTTGGCTCGCTCACCACAATTGAGCTCTCCTGAGTAACAACTTCCATTTAAAACACCCTTCATGCACTGCAGTATCTTTGGGTGCTTAGAACACTACAAACGTGTTTGGTCTCCCCCACCTCCGCAACGTCGCCCGGCTCCGACACTGTCTCACACCGCAGGCCACCGAAACCCTCATACATGCCTTCATTACATCGAGGCTCGACTATGCAAACTCATTGCTTGTTGGCCTCCCCAACTCCTCCCTCCACAGGCTGCAGTTCATCCAGAACTCTGCAGCCTGTGTCCTCTCCTGCAACAGGCTCCGCGACCCTATCACCCCCATCCTCGCCCAACTCCACTGGCTTTCCATCATACAGAGGATACAGTTCAAGATCCTAGTCCTCACCTTTAAAGCCCTCCACAGTCTTGCTCCCCCCTACCTCTCTGACCTCCTCATCCCCTACCACCCTGTTCCCTCCCTCCGCTCAGCGGGCTCTGGCCTGCTTCACGCCCCCCGCGTTGCTCGCCCACTATCGTCAGGCGGGCCTTCCGCCACTCTGCACCCACCCTCAGCAATCCCTCCGTCTCGTCCCTTCCCTCGCCACCTTTAAGACCCATCTCTTCGACCGCGCTTTCGATTTCCCTGCTTCCCTCCCCCTCCCAACCCTCAGCTTGGGTCCGTAACTCTGTCTGTCCAGAGCCTTGGGACGTCCTCCCGACATGAAAGGCGCTATACAAATGTAATTTTGTTGTTGCCTTATACAAGCTAAAACTATCCAGTTTCAATTGGACTACTACAAATTGGATTCTTTGTTCCCTGAAGACATCAATGATGCATTATATCTAGGATTACCAATTGATGTTGCTTAAACATGCAGCAACCAGGTACTCATTACTTTGTAATAGTTTGATATCCTGTGGATTGCTCATCTCAAATTGTAGAGCTATCTTCATTTAAAAGGCAATCATTTTTAAATAGACTGGTTCAGCTGTACTGCTATATCACCAAAGTACTGTATATCTACAAATGAAAATTAGAATTTGTTTTAATATAAAAGTCTAATTTATCAATTCTTCATATTTAAAAAATGAGATTCCATTGTTGATATATTAATGCAGTGCAATGGGAAGCAACAATTTAATAACATTACATTTCAGTAGTCACAATTCACCTGCTATCTTGCCACTGAAGTTTTCACTCACAGGGAGGGGAAGAGAAGGCTGGCAAAATTCAAGATCCTTTGCAGAGGATTGATGGTGGTATCAAAGTATTTATTTCAATATTATGTATTTTTAAGTGGAAGCAGGAAACTACACAGGAAAAAGAGCTATAGAAATTAACCTTTACTTAAAAAAACTACAAATACGTACGTTTTGAAGCACGGATCTCCAGATAACAGTTGCATACCTATTGTGACCTGTAAGAAAAAAAACATTGAAACATTTGTGATTTTTTAAAAAAATGGCTGCTTTGTTTTGTAGCTTCTTAAGAAACTTGTACTTGAAATTTCTAAAGCAAGTCAAGTAACAACAACAACAAAATTGCTTTTCTTAGATGAAGGATGTCCCAAAGTTTTGGACAGTCAAGGGTTTGCAAGCTGGGTGTTGGATTCGGGAGGGTTGCATATTTAATATTGAATATTTTTGAAAAATATATTTATGTATATAAGTTTAGTGTAAATTATGAGTATGCACATGATCCCTGAGATGATGATACTGCCAAGTACAAAACAGTGGCTAGGCACCTAAACAAATTGTGTCAGATAGCCGCAAAGATTCGTGACTGAAATTTCCCATGTAACAAATGCACAGTCTGAGTTGTGCCATGATGGGGAACTGGATGAATCGAGGTCAGTCACTCGGTCACAGGAAGACCAAGGAGTGAGGCTTATGGGAGAATCATCAGGGAAGTTATGCATTTCTTACAGCTGGTTCCCACAGAGAATTTGCAGAAGTATGAAAATGCATCTCTTGCCTCTTGGCCAGGATTTTGGGTGGGAGAAACGTGGAGGATCTACCTTTTAAAGTTAGATAACAATGGGTAACTGGAAATGATTAAAGGCCATATTAGATGACATCAAAATCAAGAGAGTAAAACATGAGTAGTCATTTTGAGCTCCAATAAAATAAATGGTCCTGGAATTATTTACATGTACCCATTATACAGCAATTATAGGAACAATTGGGATTGCTAGTTTTTTTTACTAGGGAGAAGTGGTAATGAAATGCTGATTACCATGCAGCAGTATTTTAATTCAATGATAATGCATCGTAGAGATTAAATTGCATCCATTCTCTTAACTGGTTAACTTGAAGTTCTCCAACATGTTATAATAATAAAAGTGGAACTTTGTAAGTGTACCAGTTTATTTTATTTCTATTATTGAAACTGGTCAAGGCAAGTTGATTAAACATTGCAGCCATCATCAAAAGGTTATAAATATTACAACTTTTGTGATGTTAATCCTTACATTCCAGGCAGAGGGCGAAACCTTGGGCAAGTTTCCTTACTCCACACAGAGCCTAATAATAATCCCTCCAAAAAACCAAAAACATTTTTAATCTACGACTGTTTGTGGGACATTGCTGTGCACAATTGGCTGCCGCGTTCGCCCACAAATATACAGTCAATTCACTTTACAGCGTGTTCTGTGAAGCGCTTTGGGACATCATCCCGACGTGAAAAGCGCTATATCAAATGCAAGGATTATTATTATTATTAAGCATATGTATTTCTCTTATCCTTGATTTACAGAAACTAGCTTTACAATTCTTTCCTTTAGGTCTTTGTAAATCTGACAACCTCTCATCTCCCACAATACCTTAAGGATGGAGTTGTCCTGTCGAGTGTTCTTTGTGTCATAACCCTCTAGTAAACAGCAGCGTGCGGTGGAGCCTGAACCTGCAAACTCCGCTAGATTAAGGTCAGCAAACCCAAGCTGGTAGGGATAAAGACAAAATTGAAATAGAATCATACAAATCTCCTCCAACACATTCTTCACTGCAAACATCTTATAATAGTCAAAGAAAATCCGGCCACAGTAGCCTCACAGTTTCTTGGATATACATCTGATGGCATGTCTGGCTTTATTAATCGAGAACTGGAAGAGTCATCGTCCTTCTAGACAGTGCAGATTGTACTGTTCACAAGGTAAATAAATAGAGGAACACTATAAAGGAGGCACGATGTTTAACAATTTGAACACTGGGATTTTGCTGCCTCAAGTCATCTTCAGCTTCTGATAATGCTTCAATAAAACTCTTGCATTTAATATCATGTGAGACTTGAGAACCTGAAAGTCAGCCAATTTCACTTCCCCACCCCAGTGAAATGTTGAGGGACTTGGCTAAGAAATTTTTTTGTGAATCTCTGACATCAAATTCGGAGGTTTGAAAACAAAATTGCACAAGGCTGTAACCTTGGAACTATCACTGTGGCAAGTCAGTATTTAATCCAATTGGGCAACTGCAATGTTGACTGTAGCAATAATGTCACTGTTGAAGGCTGCAAGGATGAGGAAACAACAGTGTTCTGAATCATTAATCTCTTTTGGGACATGACTGGAAAATGTTTAACTAAGATATTAATATTTCTTTTGCGGGGAGATACAAAAACTTTTGCTACAGACATAGTGAGGCAACTCCTTACACCATTGATTGGTTCAATTCTCTTACTCCATGGGTTTCCTAGTTTTCCTGTTAGGGCACAAATGTCAAGTTCCCCCTTTCATACAGTGTTCAGCAGCTAAGACAAGTGACAGCTTGCTCTTAGATCTTCAATATTACTAAGGTAGTGTCCAAGAACAGCTTGGGAGCTCTACTGTACTTGGGTGTGTGTAATCTACTAATCTCTTCAGTAGAAATATTATAAATGGCAATGAGCATGGTACAGCAAACTTGCTTGAGGAAACATAAGTTTGCTATACCATGCTCATTGTATAATTAATACATCTGTCTTCCACTGGACATCAATGTAGCAGCTCTGCTGAGCACAGCATTGACAGAAACACACAAACAAAATGTAAGTGATGGCATAAACAAATGAGTGAGTCCTGTTACTTTAATATGGCCCTTTTGGGAAAAATAAGATTGTAAACATTTTTTGCTGACTGTTGCACAATGCTGATATATGTGTAGATTAGTAGATGAACAGAGACATTACAGTTAGAGACCAAACACAGAATAATTTACATAGGTGTGTAGAAACTGATCAGTAATTCAATATTAGATGCAATCCCGAGGACTGGTGTTTTTCCTAATATTTATTTACATTAGCAGATATCGGAACTGACGGCATTTCCTGTTGCATGCCATTGTCTATGTGGAAGTGTGAAAGGGTTCCTGTTTTGCTTAGACTACGTACGATTGTGTATTCTGATCAGGAGATCTCCCCAGCCAAGAAATTAACAGGAGCCTTATTCATGTTTGGATTAGGGAGGAGTTGAGGGTTTTCTTTGAGGGGACTTAAGTTTGCTACTTTAAGAATAGTTACAGGTAAAATAAAGCAATTCTATGCATTATTCTTTCCTCATTTAATTCTACAATTAAAGTGGAATCCTGTAGCTCAGTGGTGAGAGCACTTGTCTCGTAAGTGAGAGACCTGGGTTCGATTTCTGGAAGGGCGAAACCTTGGGCAATTTTCCTTATTCCACACACTTGATAATAATTCCTCAAGAAAAATAAATAATAATAATAATTTGGTCACTCAATCCATGACTGTTTGTGGGACACAGCTGAGCGGAATTTGCTGCCGCATTTCACCCACACAGTCAATTCACTTTACAGTATATTCTGTGAAGTGCTTTGAGACGTCAAGAAGATGTGAAAATCGCTATATCAAATGCAAGGATTATTATTCAATTGTCTTTACTGCATAAACTCCGGGACAATACAAAACGCCACCCCTCAGTTTAATTGTATATATTAGACTCTTACCTTTGAGAACGTCTTCCCACCTTTCAGTTCCTACAAGATAATGAGAAATTCTGGTTCATTTCTCCAAACTATTCAATGTTTCAGAACATACATGAAGGTTCACTAAAATGCATTGCCATGTTATACAGGGGAAAGGTTAATTTTACACAAATGTTTTTCCCCACAAAATGTAGGTCAGGTCAAATGAGGCCTTCTGACCCTCCAACTAAAATTGTTTTTTTCCCCCCTTTGGACAATTCATCATTCCTCAGTTAAAAGTGCAGGCAAGCAATCTAAGGATCATTGAAGCTTTTGGTATGTAATCAGATGTGAAAATTAAGTTTCCTTTTAAAAAGCTTTAATAGTGTAAAATTGTCCATTTCAATAATATTATGAAAATGTATCAAGTTGCTGCTTCAGGTTTCATCATGAGTTTTCATTAATTAATGTGGAAATATACTTACACGTTATATGCTTAAAAGGAACCAACTATTTTTTGTTGCATCCTTTCTAAAAACACACCAGATGACAATACAGACATGGCTTAATAAATGCTGAAATACTAGGATTTGAAAATACCCACACAGTATGTCTTAACATTTTCAATGTGACTCAAACGTCAGATGCAAATTCACAACTAAAACCAAGAGGAGTGAATTCTGAAACCCAGAAATCAGCTAACCAGCAAACACCATTAGGTAAATTATGGATATTACATTAAAATTGTCGTGGAAAGGGGAAAAGAAAACAAAGGATCACAGAGATACATACCTTACGTACAGATACTCTGCAGATACAGGGATCCAGGACACCAGTCACTGGATTTGCACTCATTTTACAGATGAAATTGAACTTCATCTTCCAACGAACACAGTTCTCCTGAATCTCCTCCCTGCAAAATAAATTAGTTTACTGTTGGTGTTATCCTTCAGAAGGAAATGATAGTTAAAATTTCAAGATCTATCCCAGGCAGAAGCATAGACTTCAATTTGAAATAAAATCCCTCAAGAAGAGGCAGGAACTTAAGGTGATGTGAAATCACCTTTTTTTTCTTGAAGAGGCTTCCCTTCACTCCACCAGTTCACTCTTTTGGTTAAGGCATCGATATCCAGTAGCTCCTGATTTTTTCTCTGATGCCAGCCTCACCTTTCCAACCTTCCCAATTAATATCTTCCCATATAGCATATGTAATTTCAAGATTGGAAACAGTACAGGGTTGGGAAGAAACCAAATCACCAGCCGGAAGAACTTCTCAACGTGGTTATGACAACTTGCTAAAGTTTCTGCAACTGAAGAAAGAGAACTAGGTCCAGCCACTCCATGACACAAGTTCATACTCCCTTTATAGTAATATTTTATAGCAATAACCTTTAAACTCCCCTGTGGTCTTGTCCCACCCGACCTCTGCTTCAAGTCCCTGTCCCACCCTCTGTGGAGGAGCTTTCATCTGCCCCACTTTCTGGAACTCCATCATGAAGTCCCTTTAGTCACCCTTCCCTTGTTCAAAGTCTGCCTCAATGCCTTTTTCTTTGACTTCTCTTTTGGCAATCTTTCCCCCTCTCAGTCCCCATCACCAGCTTAGGTGAAAACCTTGGGGTGTCCAGTGCCTTGAAATGCCCTCCAAATGTGAAAGGCACGATATAAATGTAAATTTATTCTGTATTTCTACACCATACCAAACAAAGATGCTACAAAATTCTCCATACATTGATGGTTGTGGAGTGTTCAACAATATTTTTTCACGGTAGAAAACTGAGTTGAAGTACAGAAAGCAAGCACTAACCAGATGCAAGCAGTTTAGAGTGGAATAAAATAAACACCAAAATCAAAAGAGACTGTCTCATGTCTAGTTTTACCCCATCACTTGGAATTTGAGGATTTACTATTGCACAAATCATCAACATGATTTGGTACTGTTTACATTATCTGAATTCCTTCAATACAATAAAATGTAGACTGGCAAGACTTAATTCAAGTTCAACAAGTTTACAGAATAAGAATACTATGCTGATAAAACCAGTTTGTATCCAGTCCACTGCATACTCCAATGCAGTACAGGGAGTATGCTGCATTTTTGGAAGTGACATCCTTTGGATGAAATGTCAATCTGCCCGATTTCATGGCAATAGTCGAAAAGAGAAGGGAGTTTCTCCCGGTGCCCTGACCAACAATCCCCCAAATAAAATTGATTATTCACTTCAAGGCTATTTGTAGGACATTAAGGTGTGCACACTAGCACCACATTTGGCTACAAAGTACAGTCACTACACTTTATAGAATATCTTATGAAGTTTGAGATGTCCTCCTGACATGACAGCTCTATATCAAATGCAAAGATTTTTATGACATGATTGTCAAAATGTCTCAAAAATTCTTCATAAATAATCATCAAATGTAGTGACTGCATTTGTAAGCTAACATGGCAGCCACTTGTGTATAGCAGTCCCTACTAACCCATAAAGTCAATGACTAATTTACTTGGATGATTACTGACCACGCCAGTAGCCTTCCTTGCCTTTTCAGACTGTCCTATGGGTTCTTTGATGTCCATCCTGACCAGGCAGACAGAACCCCAGTTAACATGTGAGCAGAGCTCCCTCCTGTACTCCACTGGAGTATCAACCTCGATAAACAATAATAATGATCCTTGTATTTAATATAGCGCCTTATCACAATTTGGAGACGCCTCAAAGCTCTTCACAGAATATACTATAAAGTAAATTGACTGAATATTTTGTGGGCAAAACGCGGCAGCCAATTGCGCACAGCCATGTCCCACAAACAATTATCTCAAAATGCTAATACAGAAGCAATGCAATATTTGAGAGGTTCCTAAAATCCTTCTTACACTTGTGTGGCAAAGCCAGTGGAAAACAGAGGGATCAAAACATACTTAGCTTTAAAATTCAGTTGAGGAAATGCTCAGTCAGCATTTTGAAGCACATCTGCCACGTCTACAGTAACAGGGGAACAACCCTTGCAGCATTTGAACTTCTGCAGGTTTACAATGAATTGATATATACACATTCTGGAATTGATAGCATACATTTATAAGTGCTTCTGGGGATTAAATACAAAAGCATCAAACTGGTTTACCTACTGTCCCTTTACTATTTTTTCAATCAGTTGTCTATTTGGTTTGCTTCTGAATGCAAGCTCTTTGGAAAATGGCTTTTACCTAACCATTATGTTCTGTTAAGCCACAAGCACATATTGAGTTACGCAATGAAGTACGTTTGAAGACTAATTGAAGTATAGTTGAGGAATCATTATTTGTTTTGCATCACAAGGTCAATACTGAGGCAGGCAGTAGACTACACTGAACAATATATACGTTGTATATATATATACATATATATAATACTTGAATTTGATATATCATTTTATCACGTCTTCGAGACATCTCAAAGCGCTTCACAGAATATACTGTAAAGTGAATTGACTATTCACTAGTGTATTTTGTGGGTGAAGTATATCCTATGAAGCACTGAGACATCACAATCTCCTTACATGACAGCACTATATCAAATGCAAAGATCATTGAAGTCAAAATGTCTCGAAAATGCTTCATAATCATCAAGTGTAGTGATCAACTGTGGAAACACTCATCTTAAAAAACAAACTATGATGATGTGACAAAGTACAGCAACATCCCCAAAAAGAATTACTTTAATTTATCTATCCCAAAGCAACTTTTCTCTGTATATTTAAAAATGCACGTGGCCTTGAATCAAGGATACATCTGTACACAGCAGGTGTTCTGGAGCAAGTTTCAGAGCAGAGATATGCTACAAAGAATTGTTCTCTTCCTCCCCACCCCCAAAACAAGTCAATGCCAAAAGACTGTGGAAAATGAAAATGGGACCATTCACTATACTTTCATATTTAAACTTTGTGTTTAAACAGTCTGTGATTCAAAGTTACCCAACACTAACCACCTGCAGAGAGGAAAGGCCTATAAATATCGTTGATATATAATGTAAAATGAACACACTGAAGCTAACTATAAAACGTTGTTGATATTCAAAAGCTCTGGTATCGAAAACTCGTCTTAATCACATGGCTGACTTCTAGTCAGTCTTTTACCAATACAATATAAATTTGCATTTATATAGCTCCTTTCAGGTTGGAAGGACCTCCCAAGAAGCTGGACAGTCTAAGATTTGTGCCCGAGGAGGGAGTGTTGGAAATAGCCAAAAGCGCGGTTAAAGAGAAGGTATTAAGACAGACCTTGAAGGCGGTGAGGGAAGAGGTGAGTTGAAGGATGGGAGTTCCAGAGGGTGAGGGCAGTTTACTGAAAGTCTGATAGTGGGGTGGGTGGGGCGCGGGATGTGAAGCAGGCCAATGCCTGCTGAGCCGAGGTAGCGATTGGGTTTGACTTGGACAAGTGGAAGGGGAAGGAAAGAGACAATAACATGAATTAGCAGAAGAAAACTTTAAATTCTATTAAAAGGAATGTAAAAAAAAAAGAGGATACCCATAGGGGAGCCAGATCAAAATTAAATTGTTAATCAAATCAGAAAATATTTCTTCACACAATGAGTTTAGAGAATATGGAATTCACCAACCAACAAAACTATGATAATGATAGGACAGATCAACTCAATGAGCCATATGGTCTATTCCTATGCAATTGGGTGGGTGGGGGGTATGAAGTGGAGTCCATTGTGCAACCCCTCTTCTATTATTAAGTTACATAGGTGACCTGAATTTGCAGACTCAGTGCCAAATGGTTATAATTGCAAACGACCGTTGGCTACCGTAGAATGAGGGCAGGCAGCCAAGACCTTAAAGAGTTGGGCAATCATATGTACTTAGCAGATCAAGTTCAAAACAAATAATGAATAGGACAGTGGGTTACAGGTCCAAAAAAAAGTTGATTTTGAAGCTCCAGAAATCATGAAAAAGCTGTACACCGCTCTGGTGAAACACCATAAAAAGATCATCCAGTTCCTTGTGATAGTGCAGAGAACAATCCTGTGCGTAGAGGAATGAGCTACAAGGAATTGTTCACTTCACGGTATATTCTGTGAAGCGCTTTGTGACATCTCGAAGACGTGATAAGTTGCTATATCAAATGCAAGGATTATTATTATTATAAGAATTATTATTATTATTTTCAAAGGATGAAACCTAGTGGGCCAAAGGATCTTCTTCATTCCAAGTTGCTTAGTTAAGACAAGTTATATGTAAACGTATTTTTGCAACAACAAATGATATCTGAACACAAGAATCCACTAGAAACCATTGTACTCAATTCTACCCTTCAGTCCTATGAGCAAGGTAAAAGCAAAAATGGAAAGAAGCCTAATACAGTTAGATTAAAGAAGCTGAACGTCCTTTAATGGTAAAAATATCAGGCTATTAGAGCGCCACACAGCTGAATCAGTTGCCATCTTCAGGAGAGAAAAGACCAGAGAGAGAAAAAAACCTTTAGTTTAGATTCGAGGGAAAAGGTGTCAAAATGATCATGAATTCTGCGCAGTGTTTTGAGGGATAATCAACCAAAAAGACTGAAAGTTTAAACTAGGGTAATTTCTGAAAGAATGTACTTACAAAAGAGTAAGGAGAAGTCAGAGTACCTCTACACAAGCCTAAAAGGAAGGGGAGAGAGGGGAAAAGTACGGTTAAAGGACAGACTCTGGGGAAAACTAAGGAAACAGACATAACGTATTCAAGCAGGTGAGAAAGAACAGACTTTTTGAGAAAGTACAAAACACAATACTTTGGGTTTTTTATGATGTGCTGTATGAATAAATGAAGCACTAGGTATTTCACGTTGCTGGTCTGTGGTTCCCATGAATAGGAGGACAATGGCATCTTTGCAACTTTCCCATCTTTACAATTTATACGCAGTTAAAAAACAATTCTTTTTTAAAAAAATGAAAAAAT